ATAGACGAGTCACAAATATAAACGTTATCAGTATTGAAAAAAAAGAAGAAATCCATTATCATTTCCTTTTATTCTAACCACAAGCTCAGTTCAAAATAGTTGATCGATTCAAATTTTTCACAATGTAAATCTCGCTTTCCCTATTTTTCACTTTAGTCCGTTAAGTTTTTCTTGTGTTACATAAGTCCCAGTCATCATCATCATCATTTGACTGTAAACAGATGAAGTTTTGCAAATAACAGAAAAGAATTTTCAATTATTTAATCGTAAAGCATTTTCATGAAAAACATCTTTGCATCAAAGTTTCGTTGTCCATCCGATAATGTGTGCTCCAGTGAATTAAAGGCTTTTGCGGTAAAATTTCCTTTCACTCTACTAACCTATGGCACGAAAGTTTTGATGCAAAATATTCACTCAAATTTCTATCATTAAAAAAAGACAACTGAGTAGAGTCAGAATCAAAGCTTTCCACTATTTACGAATATATGCTCACATTTTCCTGGTTTTGAGACAGCCCTTAGTTTATACACTATTGAACAAATTCAACTCAACATTATTGTAGAACACTCAATTATCTACAAAATGAGATATAATAAGAGAAATCTCATTGATGTATTTTTCTTATAGGAATTGGCTAGTCAAAAAATCGTTGTTTCAAAAATTGCTTTTCAAGATACAAAAGTTTTAAAATCTATTATATAAAAATAAATAACATACTATGTAGAGCAAACTGAGTTATTAACAACTGTTTCGCATTTTGAATTTGTTAGGCTTCAATCGAAATACAAAATTGACTAAAATAGTATTCGATACAATCTATATGTTGAACTTGTTAAAAGAATTTGATGATAGTTGTTCAATTTTCCTCTAGAAGAAAGTTCTAAATACTTATTCGAAAAGAACGAAAAAGTAACCAGTTGTCTTTAAGTGTCCGAAAATTTTGTTCCAACATTTTCACGCCATAAGTTATTTGGTCGAACCGTTAATGATGATTCTCTTCTATTGTTTTTTCATGATTGAAATAAAATAATTAATTTTTTTTGTTTTGTTCTGTTTTAGAACGTGAACAACATATCAATGAACATTTACGTCAATATCAAGATGCATTACGTGAACAAACTACATTAGCAAATCGTTTAACAAATGAAAATAATGAAATTCGTAATCGTTTAGCTGAATATAATGAAGCATTATCTGCTGCACATCGTTTAAATGATCAAATAGAAAAAAAAGATTTATTAATAAATACACTTCGTAATGAAATTCACGATAAAGATAAAAAAATTCAACAATATGAATATAGTTTACGTGATTTACAATCAACAAGTGGTTCACGTGTTGAAAAACAACTTGTGAAAAATATACTTTTATCTTATTTTCATACACCTATTAATAAACAACAAGAAGTTATTCCACTTTTAGGTGCATTAGTTGGTTTTACACAAGATGAATATAAAAAAGCTGTTGATGCAGCATCAACTAATCAAAGTAATAATCTGAGAGCTGGATCAGGTTGGTTAAGTGGATGGTTAGGTGGAAATCCAGCAGCAGCAGGAGGAGGAGGAGGAGCTAATACAGCAAGAACAAGAACACAATCCGAAACTCCAGTTTATGATCCGAATAAAGTAATTAAATAAAATGAAATTTAATTTATAAAAAAAAAATTTTCATTTTAGTCATTTACTGAATTATTAATTCAATATGTTGATCAACAATCAACAAATAATTCTCAACATCCAACAGCAAAATTTAATACTGATGAATATCTTCAGCGACATGATAGTAATGTAGGTGCTAGTGGTCATCATCTTATGAGAAAATCATCTTTATCTACATCATCAAATCCTTTTATTAATTCTTCATATTTAAATCTTAATAAACAATCATCTGCTATTGTTTTACCAACACCAAATACTTCACAAAGTATAATTAATATTAATTCACCTCCTCTTCCACCACCACCACCAACAACAACAACATCGGCAACAGCAACAACAACAACAACAAATCTAGAATCATCATCAACTATTCTTAAAGATTTGTTAAAAACTTGACTTGTTAATTATTGAAAATTTGTTCATTTCTATTTTTTAATTATTTATTTATTTGTTTCGCAATTAGAGTTTGTCTCTTGTTTATAAATATCTGTATTTTTTTTTTCTTTCTCATTTTTATTTGCTTTCGGTCATTTTTTTTTTCATTTCTCTTTATTCGTTATCTTGTTTTTTTTTCTTGTCTCATAAAAATCGGCCTGGGTACGATGACTTTCTTTTTTCTTTCTTTTAGATTTTTATTCTTGAACAAATAATAAAAGAAAACAAAAATATAATGGTACAATAGAAATTGTATACTTTTTTTTTCAAATATTTAAATGTTTATTTAAGGCTTATCATTCTTCATTTGCTAATAGCAAGTTTCGATTAGGAAATATGGCTTTATTACCTATTCGAACACGTTATAGTGGTCCGGCTCCAACTGAAACATGTAAGATATGACTTGAACATTTTATAAGTGCTAAGTAAATCAAAAAACATAGGAATATACTTTCAAACACGATCATTAAGATCGATGCATAGACGATAAATGGATGGTGAGAACAGATTGTTATTTTTCTTTTTTTGCATTTGTCCCGATGGTTTCCGATAGCATGAAATCTTCTATCATTGCACGTTTATAAAATGTTTTCACCAGCTTTACCAGTACTGCTTGAAAAAAATTGTCTGAAAGTATTTTTTCGAGAGCATAAGTCGAGTGGTTCGAAAGGCTTTAGCAAAAAAAACAAACTGTTAGCGCAATCCTTAAAGGATTAAAATGTAAAATATCATATAGTTGTGCTGTTACTAATCACAAGAAGATTGTTTTATTCTATCTATTTTCTGACACATTTCTTCATCATTCTTTTACTTAGTCCTCGAAAAATGCAAAATCGTGGGAGGAGGGTGAGTGGCTCCAAATTTCTATCCCTATACTTCAACATTCTCTTAATTCCTAGAAGATCAAATTACTGTAGAATAAACCAGTACTTTTGCATGTATGAAGAAAGAATGTCACATTAAATTAGAAAACAGTCCCAATGAAGATTAAACATGAATATGAAAAGTTAAACATATAATAAAACGAAAATATAAATAACAAACTTCGTTTTATATTTTTCTGTAGTCATATATGACTATTCAACAAGGCGAGAATGAGGCTTCAAATTACAGTGAATATTGTTCTTCTATGATTATACAAAACGCTACATAAAAAAAGGATAAAGAATGAGAACAAGAAAATTCTTGTCTTTCGACTATCTTATGGTATGGGGTACCGCCTAGTGACAGATACAGTAGCCCGATAACTGAGAATAACTGTAGCTCTGAACAGAAGGCTAACATGACGTAAAGTTTCGGCACTCAATTGCTTGAGTCCTTCATACACACACTAACCAGCTTCAGGAGCAGGTGTTCATGGCTTACGGTATTGAAGTTTACACACTGTACCTTATGGATACGTATCGAATGAATTAGCCATTGAGGCTTGAAAACGATACAATGATGGGTCAAGTAAGAATATAGATTCTAATATTCTTAGACAAGTTTATTTTTATCACTCGCTTAGCTTATGAGAGAAAAAAAAACATCTATATTTTGTTAATTATAATTTAATATTTTTTTGTTTCTAGCTACTGACAATGAAGATATTATTGATGAAGCAATTAAATTTTTTCGAGCAAATATTTTCTTTCGTAATTATGATATTAAAGTAAGTTAAATCTATTATTTGATTTAATTCTTAAATAATTTTTATTAATAAAGCATGATGCTGATCGAACATTGATTTATTTAACATTGTATATAACAGAATGTTTAAGACGTCTTCAAAAGGTAAAATATCAAATTTTTCCTTTTTATTTTTGTTATTTTAAATCAAATAAATTAATTAATTTGAAGTGTCAATCACGTATTCAAGCACAAAAAGAATTAACAGCATTGGCTATATCAACATTTCCTATTCCAGGTGATTCAGATTTTCCACTTAATGGCATGTTTACAAAACCAGCACCTGATGAAGTTGGTAAGTTTTCTTATTAATTATTTCATAGGAAATAAAAAATTTGAACAGTCCATGTTTTTATTCTATTCAATAATATCTCATATGAATTCAATCTCAATTCGATCATGATTCATAAAATAAAATGAACTGAAAAGCCTTCACTTATCTTCATGATTAGTCATTTAAAAAATTTATTCTCGAATGGTCACTAACTGACCGAAATCTATATATTAATCCGAGTCTGAAAATAATCCGACAATCTTTGATAGAAATGAGATAGGGAGCTGCGGTTTTCATCATTCGAAAGGAGGAGGAGATGAAGATGCATCGAACTGTATAATATATGATAATTTGACCTAGGTTTTTTTCAAGAACTTAAACTGACGTTTTTAAAAACCAACGTACTCCATAAGACAACTACACTGAATTCTATTTTTTTTGGTGATCAGATGTGCATTCGAACCACAAGTGGAAAATCTACAAAAATTTAAATATTTTCTTTTAGATAAAATGAAACAATATCTTGAACAATTACGTAAAGAATGTAGTGATCGTATGGTTGAACATGTTATTGATTCCGAAACTGATAAACCATCAAAAGTAAGAGATAAAAACGAATAAATTTTCAATTTAAAAAAAAAACACCAAAAATTTATATTTTTAAATATTTTAGTGGTGGCTTTGTTTTGTTCGACGTCGTTTTATGGATAAAAGTTTATTAAATATAGGTACATTATAATTAAAATAAAAAAAAAAAAAAGAACGAAGAAAATTAACGAGAATTTTTTTCTAAGAAGCTTCAAAAATAAAACTTCTTTTTTTTTTTTATGTGCCTTTTTTTCTCTTCTTTCGAAATTCATTCAGCTAGCTATTTGTTATTTCTTCTTTTTTTATTTACTCATCTTTCTTTTTCTTTGCTAATAGAAAATAAAAGAAACATTGATTTAATACAAAAATTGATCGTATTAGATAAGAAAATGATTTTTTTCTATTTGATAATCAATATTAAATTGAATTGTTGTTGAACGTATATGTCCTTCATCTGACCATTTATAATAAATACCTTTTTGTAATTGTTTATTTTGATTTATATATGAAGAAAATATTAATTGAAGTAAACAATTATCTCCACGTATATTTAATTTTAATGAACGTTCTTCAACATAATAAACTAATATAATTGGTTTTATTTGATGAATTATACTACGAGCTGTGTAAGGTAAACGTTTACATGAATGAAATTCAATAAGATTAGCTGTTATTTGTTCAGTTTTATTTGTTGGTAAACGTATATTTAAATACATTTGTTTTATATTACGCATCCAATAAAATTTACGTGGTTGACGAACACGTAAATAATTATTTATACGCATTGATTCACGATTGATATTTGTTGAATTTGGAAATGATGAAACTGATAAAAGTGTACAATTTAAAACAATTGGTATATGACATATATCATATAGATATGAAAGACATTGATCTAAATAAATTTCTTCATTATCTGACAATTGTATATCGGGTTCAATTGATATAGTTAAATATTCTTTCAAATTATTTGATGAAACATTAGTTGAATTACATTTCTCATTGTTCATTCATTCAAAAATAAATTAAACGAAAAAAAAACAAACAACAACAACAAATTTCGTCTTAACTACGCGCTGTAACGCTGAATTTTAGTTATATTTCATTTTCTAAATTGTTCGTATAAGTTAATCGTTGTCGAAATTTTTCATGTAGACGATATAATTCATTCATTGTCTTTATCCAGGATGAAAAACAAAAGAATGGATAACATATAGATATATCCATGTTGTATTTCATTCTTCTCTTCTTTATCTAACTTAGTCGTCTTCGTTCGCCTACTATTAGTTATATTATCATTCGAACTAAATCGTCGTCAAAGAGTGAACACTATTTCGATCTAAACATTTTAAACGCATTCATTTATTATTGTTTTATTCCACCGATTAGTAACATACGAATAAAAAAAGAAAACAATGTCCGGTCGAGGTAACACAACAATGTCTTCAGCTAAAAGCAAAGGTAAAGACAAACAATCGACACGTAGTAGTCGTGCCGGTCTTACGTTTCCCGTTGGTCGAGTAGTAAGTTTTTTGTTTTTTGTATTATTATTTATTGTTCGAAATTTTAATCGATTTTTGTTTAGCATCGTTATCTCAAACAAGGCTCTTATGGAGAACGAATTGGTGAAGGTGCACCAGTATACTTGGGTAAGAATGATTTTGATATTTATCATTGTTCTTATTGTCTTTTCTTTTTATAGCTGCTGTACTTGAATATTTAACTGCTGAAATTCTTGAATTAGGTTCGTTGTTGTTGTTGTTGTTTTTCTTCTTTTATCAAATCAACTTTTTCTTCTATTGAAACCTATTTCTAGCTGGAAATGCTGCTCGAGATAATGAAAAAAAACGTATTATACCTCGACATTTACAATTGGCTGTTCGAAATGATGAAGAATTAAATCGATTACTCGATGGTGTAACTATTGGTAAATTCTATTTGAAGAAAGTTTTTCATATTTTGATAATAAATTCTTCTTTTTTTTTTTTTGTTTGTCAATATAGCACAAGGTGGTGTTTTACCTAATATTCGTTCGGAACTTTTACCAAAAAAAACAAAAGCTGATGAAGATAATGGTGGCAGTATAGAATCACAACGTGGTACTCAAGGTCGTCCAATGATAATGCAATCAGGAGGATCAATGGCTAATAATGGTATGAAAAAGAAAAGTATGCCACCCGGTAAAAAAAGTCTTGCACCTCCAACATCTCAAAAAAAATCAAATAAACCAAAACCAACGCAACAGCAACAAAAAAATATTACTACTAGTAATGATGATGATGATGATGATGAATCTGACGATGAAGTGAGAGAATAATCACCAAAGAAAAAATAATCATATAAAAAAAATTCTTTTTTTTTCTTTGTATAGGGTAATGATACGACTGGTCATGGAAACACCGCAACTAGTTCAAGTGCTTTAGCTACGACAACTGCCAATGATACAACAGCCGATGACGATGACGAAGATGAGGATGAGGATGACGATTGATAAATTCTTTTGTTATGTAAACATGTTTCTTCTTTTCTTTTCTTTTCTTTTTTGTAAATGAGTTTGTTTATTTATTTATTGTATAAGATTTCTACGTGTATTTATTCATTTACTAATTTAATTAAGAAGAAAAATCAAATAAAAAAAAATAATACGTTGTCTATCAAAGATCATTAGATTTTCTTGAACTTTTATTTCCTATTAATACCAACAAAAACCATAGCAAACAGTAAATAGAAAAAGGACAAAAAAAAAACAGAAGAATGGGAAATATGTGTCTGTTATAAACAGATCACTCTTATAAATAAAGTTTTTAATTTAATCATACATTTTCATTTTTTTTCTGAGTAGCAGGTATATTAATTTGATCATCTAAAGTAGATGATGATGATGATGATGATGATGAACTAATTGCTTCCTTAATTTTACGTTGAATATATTTGCTTCTATCATTTATTACTTGAATTTTGATAAATTCATCATAATCAATCTATTAAAGCAAAAGAAAACAAAAAAAAAAAAATCTTTTTTTGTTTTTTTTTTCTAATTCGAAACATACCGGTACACATTTATATCCAAGTGAATTTAATAATCGTAATTGTAATGCTATAGAACCCGAAACAGAATTTGTTAAAAGTGTTTTATCTTGATAATCAAGACATTTAAGTGCAATTCTATTAAATATCAATAATTACATTATGTTTTTTTTTTATTTATAATGATTAATTAACTTTACTTGAAATTATTTTCATCAATACGAATTTTATTAAATGTTGTTTGTCCATTACCATCACCATTAGTTAAAACAGTATTTAAATCTTGTGGTATACCTGTTTTATCTACGACCATTAAACAATCTAGAAATAAAAAGTAGAAAATAATTGAATAATTAAAAAAGATTTTATACCAATAACAATCATATTTGATGTAACAACATTAAATTTTGAATATTTATTTTCAGCTGCAAATGTTATAACTGTTTTAGCTAATTGATCTTGTGCATTAGAATTTTTTACTGTTAATTGTTGTGCAAGTTGTTCAATATTAAATGTTGGTTTAGGAAATTTTTTTGAAAATTTTTGTAAACTATACGAATATGTTGTAAGTAATTTAAGTGCACTTGCTATTTTTGAATTTGATATTTCATCTAAAATTATTTTTTATTTTTACAAAAAAAAAATAAAAAAAAAAAAATGAATTATTTGAATATTTTATACTTTGTACAAGTTGAAATATATCTTGATTAAGAACAATTGATAAATGATTTTGATTTGCTTGATCTAAAATAGCAAGTGACCAAACAAGATCAATACGATTTTTTATTTCATTTAATTGATTATTATCATCAGTAATATTTTCATCAAATTTTAAATGATTTTCAATAATTTTTGATAATATTGATGGAGAATAATTAACAGATGCACATGTACGTATAAATGATTGTATAGATTTATTTTTTAATGATGAAAATAAATTCGATTCTTCTAAAAGTATTCTTCCAAAAGCATCAAGTAATTCACAATGACGTAAACGAAGTGTACCCATTGAAGTTACAATTGATTGAAACTAGAAGAAAATAATGTTTTTGATAATCATAAAACAATGATTTCGATTTTATTTTAAAGAAAAATTTATGAATTATTATGTACTGTTCACACATAGGTGAATTCAACATTATTTCTTGTCGATATATATTTTTTTTTATCTACTAGTAATATATATAACGTTCTATCGAACTCTTTGAAGGATCATAGTCTGTAAAAGTGAGTTCTAGACATAAGAAATAAACTTTTTAACTTAATCATTTAAAACTCTAGAAGGACGAACATCTATTTTTGGGAATATCGACACACATAGTGTAATGTCAAATAATTATCAACTCCAGAAAGATAGAACCCAATCTTCGGAAGAGCACCTTGGTCCCCTATGCTAGATACAAGATTGAAATAAATCCTACAAGCTAATAGAAAGATGAGTAGAGTATTACAGTACTGGTTTTAAATTTGTCTTTAAATGATATTTTTTTTGATAATAAAATATACTTACTATAAATTGATCATTAATATTATTAATTTGTTCATATGCATCTCGAATTAATCGTTCTAAAAATGATTTTTCATATACATTTAACATAGCACATGCAAAAAGACAATCTTTTATTTTATCTAATGGAAATAAAAATGATTCACTTAATTTAAGTAAATGATAACAAGCAGCACGTATTATTGTTCTATCACGTCTTTTTAATATTGATTTATTAATTAATATTTTAAACCAATCATCAAATGTTAATGTATCACTTATCTCTAAAATTCTTTCATCTAAACGATTTATTAAACGATCATTATATGATAATTTATATGTTAATGCTAATATATCACGTATATTATCAAATTCAAAATAACGTCCTTCAGCTAAAGCTAAAAGACGATTATAAATTCGATGAATCCATTGTGTTGTATGACGAGAAGATTTTAATTCTTCTAATATACGAACAATCTAAAATAAGAGGTTAACTTTAAAAAAAAAAAAAAAAGAAAAATATTTTACTTGATGAACACTAATACGTCGTAAACGATTAGCAAGTGTAAGAGAAAATTTATCGGTAAATTCATTATCTTCAGGATAATATTTTGTAACAAATGTAATAGCTGTTAATATTTCATGATCACTAAATTTGCCTAACTAAAAAAAAGAAAAAAATCATTTTCTTATGAGACTTCTCTCTCTCGTTTTTCTTTAATAACATACAAAACTAATTAAAAGTGATTCCATACGATTTCGAGCATTATATGATTGTGCATAAATATGAATAGCATTGCTATTTTCTATTGATGCTAATTGACACATTTTTTGTAAACCTAATGCAAATTCTGTTGGTACAATATATTTATCAAAAATTGTCATTAAATCTTCTACAGTATTTGCTTCTTTAATATTTGCTGCAAGCATTGGATCAGATCTTTGACGTTGAAGTTCATTTGGATTAGAAGACTTTAAAAAAAGAAATGGAATACAAGATGATTTTATTCCTACGGAAGGGAGAAGTACCTTCTATCCCACAACATTCCTCTCAAATTTAGTCAGTTTGTAGAGAGTATCTTCATGTGCCGAACAGGAGTTATAAGATTTGAAATGTCAATGGAAAAAATAATCCTTATCAAGTTTTGTATTCTTACAATGTCTTCTACGAAAGTTTGCATCTATGCATTTTTATTTTAGAAAAAATGTTGTTTTCCTGAAGTGTTGGAGACTTTGAAACGTGTCTGAAGATGAAATCCAGCATATCATGATAAAAAAAAGAGAAAGAGAAGCAAACTCAGTGAACAAAATTTTTTCGGAAGATATTGTAAGAGTAGAAGGTTTGGTAAATATTACTTTTTTCGTTGATATCAAATAAGTAAATTTTGTAAACCTTATAATTCCTGTTCGATCTAATCCAAAACAAAAAAGATATTATAATATTCCAATACTTGAAAATACTTTCTACAAACTGGTGTGCATGCCATAATGGAGTACTTCTTCCGTCTACTTATAAGAAAATTTTCTTTTTTTTTTTTACTTCATCAGATTGTTTTGTTAATGATCTTTCTTTTTTTGGTTGTCGTGGTTTTTGTAAATTTGATTTATCAATATTATCTATTTTAATTTTTTTTTCAGTAGAAATATTTTTTGAATTATCAAATACTGTTTCAATATTAATTTTATTTGTTGATATTTTTCGTTTTGATTGCATTTTAATTTGTGTTTGTCGTGCTAAATATCGTCGTTGTTCTTCAGCTTCATAATCATTTATATTGGATATTTCATTTTCATAACGATTTTTTATTGATAAATTTGATGTTAATCGTAATGGATCTTCAAATGAAGAAGAATGAAGAATATTTGGTCGACGTGGACTTGTTGGAATAGGAATTTCTTCAGATTCTTCATTGGAAAATAATCTTTTTACATCAACTTTACGTGTTACAGATGATGGAAGTTGACGAGATGTTGACTAAATGATAGAATAGAATCAGTATTCTATAAAAAGGTTTTCTATATAGAATTATCTTACTTTGTCATTAGACGGTTGAGATTGAGCTATTTTAGGATTATTAGAAACAGAACGTATTGATTTTAAAAGAATATTTGTTGTTGATGGATATGAAGATAATACTGTCCGACTATATGAACCAAGAAATCGAAGCATTTTAAGATTTGTTAACGTTGACAGACGTTAAAATGAAAAATGATTGATATCTTAAAGTAAAAAGTAATGAAAGAGAATTTTCAATTCATTTGAAAAAATATTTTATTGGATATTATTTCAATCAATAAATAATTGTTTTTTTAATGTCGTTTTTTGATTGGTTGATTAAAATTAAATTATTGTCACTTTAAAATGAATTAATTATTTGAACAATTGTATTTCATAAGTTAATATTAATTTTCCGATTAAAGATAATATTCTTAAATAATTATTCTTCATATCACAAATCTAGAATCTCATTATTCATCGAAAATAAAATAAGAAGGTTCGATTCAAGATTTTTATTGGTAGTTGAATTTTGACCATTTATCATATTTACAACTGTGCTAGTTTCTCATTTTGTCTGTCTATCAACGATCGTGTCAATTGTTTTATATATATATATACAAGTGAGTCGAAAATAAGATACTTGGTGCGACAGATTTTAGTTTAAGATTTTTTTTTTTTTGTTTCTGGAATTTTGATTAAATGCAATGACGAATATGATTTGACAATATTTTTCTTTTGTATCTTTTTTTTTTTTGTTTTATTATAGAAACAGCATTAATACTATGACAAAGCAAACTGTCGTAGATGAATCTCTTCCATCTGTAGATAGTACTGACGAAAAACAAGGCATATGGTAAGTAAAATTAACTTATATCTTTTTTTTGTTTTTTTGTTTCTTTCATTCGAACTATTTGATAGGGCATCAATATTACGTGATGTAAAATCATCAACAAAAAAAGCACCGGCAACAAAATCACTTGTAGTTCTTGGTGATAATGAAAGTGGTCGTACAACATTAGTAGCTAAATTACAAGGTAATGAGGATCCAAAACGAGGTGCTGGTTTAGAATATCATTATATTGATGTTCGAGATGATGATCGAGATGGTATTGAAATTCATTTTTAAAAACATATATATATTTTTTTAAATATTATTTAATAAATAGATACTCCAAAATTAGGTGTATGGATACTTGATGGTGATGTAACATGTTCATCACCTTTACTTAAATTTGCAATTAAATCAGATACATATGAAGATACTATTCTTATGCTTGTTGCTAATATGACACAACCATGGTCATTATTAACAACATTAAAAAAATGGATAACACTTGTTGAAGAACATATTGATAAACTTCAATTAGATTCAACACATTTACATGAAATACGTGATCGATTTCAATATGATTTTCAACATTATACAGAACCAAATGATACATCAATAATGATAACATCATCATCATCATCAACAACAATAAAAAGTGGAATAATAGGTGGTCGAATTCCAAGTTCAGTTTCATCAGTTTCATTAGCATCAGGTACAACATCTACAAATATAAATAATAGTGAAGAACAAATTATTTTACCATTACCTGAAGGTGTATTAACAAAATCACTTGGAATTCCAGTTATTGTTGTTATTACAAAAGTATATAATTTAAAAAAAGAAAATTAATTTGTTTTTTTTTTTTTTTTTCAATATATTTTTATTTAGTGTGATGCAATGTCAACTCTTGAAAAAGAAAATGATTATAAAGATGAACAGTTTGATTTTATGCAATATCATTTAAGAAAATTTTGTTTAGAATGTATGTTTTGTTTTTTATTTTTTTTTTTTTGAAATTTTTGTTTATTTTTGCTTTAGATGGTGCTGCATTATTTTTTACATCTGTAAAAGAAAAAAAAAATATTGATAAATTATATAAATATATTCTACATAAATGTTATGGTTATCCATTTATATCACCTGCTGCTATTGTTGAACGTGATGCTATATTTATACCATCAGGTTGGGATAATCCAAAAAAAGTTGATATTTTATTAGAAAATCTTCATCGACTTAAATCAACTGATAATTATTCAGATGTATTCGTTAAACCTATTGTTCGACGGGTATTTTATTTTAATTAATATATGAATAAATAAATAATTTTTTTTTTTATTTTTTACTTTCTTATGTCTACAGCCATTACAACGTGATAATGAAATTATTACAGCTGAAGATGATCAAGAATTTTTATCTCGTCTTCAATTAACACTTAATCGAGCTGCATCACCTGGAAGAACTGTAAGTATTTATAATATAACGAGTGAATAGAAAGTTTTTAGATAAAATATTTGTTTACTTTTTGATTTCTTTGAAAAAAAGCTATGGATTAGAATCAATATATTGTGCACTCTGTCGAATGGACGCTTCTTTAGAAAGTTTTATATTAAACTAAGTTGTGGCTTTTACTTGAATAAAACTATAGACACTTTACAATTGCTTCTTTCTATACAAAACACCTTTTAGTGAAAATAAGAGAAACGAAAAATTAAGTGATCTATAAAAAAAAAAAAAAAACTCCAATAGTACATTTAATAGGTTAAATTCTCCTCTAAGAGCTGATATATATTAATAAAGGTGTCAACATTTATTTTCCAATTGTAATAATGAAAATACAAAAGTATACGAAGAAATTTTTCGTCAAAACTCTTGGTCTTTCGAAAGAGCACAAAAACTTTGGTCATAACCCATAACTTGAAACACCTTCACGGTAGTCAAAAATAAACAAATATTTTGTTTTTCAATGTCGGAACAACTTTGTTATATTTTCATTCGTAGGAGGAAAATGCTACACCTGTACTCACACGAAATGTAATGACATCAGGTGTAAGTAGTGGTATGATTTCACAAACACCATCTATGCCTGGTCGATCACGAAATCAACCGGTATAATTCATAAATGTGTAATTTTTAGTTTAAAAAAATTATGAAAATTATTTTATTTTAAGACTACTTCTTCTGGCGGTACTAGTGCAGCAGCAAATGAAGGTGCCCTAGCTAATTTCTTCAATAGTCTTCTAACAAGAAAATCGGGTGGTCCAGTAACTCCAACAAATGCCAGTTCACCTGTCACTCAACGACAAAGTAAGCTATATGCTTTTTATTTTCGATTATCGGATTTCGAAATAAAAACTAAAAATCTCATAAATACAACTCAATGAATTGTACAAAAAAAAACATAATATTCCTGATTTATAATTCATATTTCTAATAGTTTGAACAACAAACTATAAGAAATCTTTTGCAACTCTCTATGAGAGATGACTCATTATTAAATTTATAAATGAATAAAAACAACTCGATTATAATTGTTAATTATCAACATGCAAATCTATAAGTAACATCGCATCAGACATTCATACTAAATGAAAAGAATAATTCAAATTTTCGAGCGTTTCTTATAACTAAGAATAATCCTGTTGTTTTACCATAATAGACCAACTGTTACCACTTATCAACGATTGACGAACAATGGTTTGTCTTTTTCCTCATAATATAATTCAATAACAAAATAAGCAGATTTTGATGATATTTCTCATTAGAAACAATCATTATAACGGCTAGTGAAAAGGATTTTTTATTTTCTAACTAATCAATATTAACTTATTCTATTATATGAGATGATAATAATAATAACTTTGTTCCACAATTATCAAAAAGTTAATCCTCTATTGTTTACTCTCTGATAAATCATTCCTTAACTAAAAATTATTTGAAAGAAAAGAATAAAAAAAAACAAAACAAACAGTTTCAACTTATTAAAGACATTTCATCACATAAGAATTCTGTTGAGATAGCATGATCAATTCATTCATCGTGTCTCGACAGATAAATCTTAGAACATCATAACATGAGATTCATTATTAATTGTAGTATCGTCAAATAATAGTTCAAGAAAAACAAAAACCATCAATCTATTACTTAAATTCTCTTTCACTACCAATTATCGATGGATCTATTTAGTTACAGTGCACCAATAGTCTCAGACATCTGATGGTACACATCTTAGTACCCATTGTTCTATAGTAATTAATGATGAAAATGATATATAGTTTCAAAAGATGAATATCATCATAATACTGTTTCATACGTAGTACATGTAGAATACCATCTTTCTAGTCTCATCCCTAACAACCAAGCGCAACAACGGCATGTTAAACTAGACCAGATAGACATTTCAAAATTTCTAATGATTGTAAAAATGTTAAGTGAGCAGAAGTTATTCTCTGCACCATGTATAATGTGGTGTATTTATGCTCGGGTATAATCATTTGCTTATTTTGCTTTTTATTTTTCCGTCCTTTTGAATACTTTTTTATTTTTTTTGGGAATATCGATGCTTCTTCTTTTTTTTTTTTTTGACTATGAATATATTAAATTAATCTTCTCCTATTTCAGATAATGACAATACTGGTGTTGATTCGACTTTGACGGCTAACCAAAGTGAGTTTTCTATTGTTTTGAATTGAACAAAGAAAAAAAATTCTTTTGAATATATCATTTTCAGATTCCCAAAAACAACAAGAGCAATCTTAATCGCAACCGAATCTTTTCTTTCTTTCTTTTTTTTTAAATTGTTTGTCTCATGCTTCTTAAAAAACAATAAAATAAACTATAGATATGGTTCATAGTCTAAATAGGGATAATCAATCAAAATATATCATTCAATTCATTGAACAATTCTAATGTAAACAAAAAGAAAAAATAGATTAACATTGTATGAATTAAAAATTTTTGAAGAAAAATTAAATAGATATTCTTTACTATCGATTTCTGTCAAATATGTTAATCTCATTGTGAATAGTCCTTATCATACTGAGAAAAGACTAATTGCAATTCTTTGCATTCATAAACGAGTCTATGATTAATGTTTTGTATACTATAAAAGTGTCTATTAAAAATAACAAATCAATGAATAGTATTTCACATTCCGATCATAAAGTTACAGTTAAAAAGATCTAATACAATATTAAATTATATTAGAAATGATATCTGATGAAATATCTAAATCTATGATTTATTTCGTCATATGATTACAAAGTGAACATTTGTAATTAAGCGAAAGAATGATATTAAATGACATTTAGAGGACGAGCACGTACTTGTTCATGTCATATAAAGAAGATAATATAACTGATATCATATATATGCAATAATTTTTAATGTTGACATTTATGTTTGATTATTCATTGTTAATAGCATCATGCAATAAACATATGTTTACTATTTAAAAAATAGTCCAATAAAATTTGGATTTCGAAACAATGTGAAGAAATAATCATTGCTTTGACGACGTCAGATTCTTCTCTACGAATAAATAGAATATGACTTCAATTTCTAATAAGTTTTTTTTTCTAATATGCACAAAAATTTCATTGAATATCTTTATAACATCTTTGCAGTTATCAGATATCTTGTTGAATACATAACATAAGCATAGCAATCTTCTTTCACATTCTCATCATAATTAATTAATTCTATCTCATTCATTATGATAGCAAAAATATATTTCTCTTCGAGGAATAATGAATACAAACAAAAATTCAGACTTCGTCTTAAAATTTTGTACACTTCAACATAATAGAAGATTCAAGATCGTCTATTGTTGGTAGAGATTTTTCACAATTCTAACTGAAATTTCATGTGATAACACACACACACTCTATAGCTGCTTCAAATAGATAAGCATTAATAAAAGACAAAGGAACAACATGTCTCAATTCAATAGAATTAAACTTTTAATTATTCGATAATTATATTTTCTTTTCTTTTTTAAACAAATGATGATAAAAAAAAAACAAAAAAAGATGAAATATATTTTGTAATTATTCTTGTTATTAATATCTTTATCATTATCATCATGATTGTTTTATTTCGATCGTTCACGCATACGTCTTCGTTTACGTTTGAGTCGTCGCATTCGTTTCTTACGCCACTAAAAAAACACAAAACATTTAGAAAATCTTCACTATCATCATAAAATCTTTACCTTAGCTCTCATGATTAATTATAACAAAATAAGAATGCTTGTTTTTCTTTTGTGTATATGTTTTATAAACAATCTAGAAGGCACTACAAATTCATTCATAGACAAACAAATATATAATTAAATTGTATTTCAAGAAACTATTAGAAAGTGTGAACATAACAAAAAAAAACAGAGTGATCTAGTCTGCGCATAAGTACATCAAAAAAAAAAAAAGAAACAAAAGAACGCTATCTATATATATACCCTGTGTTGCATGTATCATAAATATCACTTTCAAAGTGATTGAATGTATATGTAAATACAAGCATAACTATATAAATATACATATAAAAGATTAATAACAGACTATTTGACTATAAGGAACGAATGTAACATTCAGCTAATTATGACAACGAAAAAAATAACAAGAAAAAAAGTGTTTAACTGAGATATATTTAATCTGATCAGTGCCATCTATGAATCATATAAAAGATCATTATGTCTGACTTAATGCTTCATATAGAAGAAATATTAGAATTACATATACATATATAGAAATATAATAAGGTTCTTAATGAAAAAACTAGTACTGTTCTAATCATAACAAAAAAAGAAAAAGAAAAAGAAATGAATAAAGATTAAAGACGAGAAGATTTAATTTTATTCTGTTGTTTATCTGATCCACGTACAAACACTTTAGGTGGTTGTTGTTGTTGTTGTAAAGAAGTAAGTTCACTACCAGATAATGCTGATGAAGTTGGCGGTTGACGAGTATGATGCATACCATGTGGTCGAGGACCATGACACTAAAAATACACACACAAACATTCACTTTAGTTTTTTTTTAAAATTCATATCAATAATTCACATACACCACGTTTAAGTGAAAGTGTTCGAGCTGGTTTTAAACGTGGATTTGATGAAGGAGTATGAACAGAACAAATTTTTACAAAAATACTCATAAAACCAATAAGGCCTAATAGACCCAATACAAAAGCCCACCAATATTCCTAAAACAAAAAGATTGGTGTTTTTTTTTTTGTTTTTATGTTTAACATATAATAAAAACCTGAGTAAGTTGAGTAAGTGTACGAATATTTTCTTCATTAAGTAACATATTTTTTAATCGTGTTAAAGGACCTTCAGCATCAACAGCACGACATTTACCAAATACATCACAATAACCAGCTGTTCCAGAACAAGCATGACCTTTTATGAATTTAATATTACAAAAAAAAAAAAAAGTATTAAATTTAAATAACAAACCAGGTCGATGTTTATAACCAAATCCACTCATACTATGATTATTCGGCATACGAAGAGCAAGTGTATCAACACATGAATTTGTTCGAGCTTTAAAATAAAATTATTTTTATTATTTTCTTCTCTAAAAGTAAAAAAAAACAAAATATTATATTCTTACTATCAAAACATCCAATATGACATAAATATTCTCGATCAATATCTCGTTGTCTTAATGGATCTTCAACATTCGGTATTGTTAATATACATTCAGTTTTATTTATTAATGTACATATACTTTTATTACATTCCTAAAACAAAAAAATTATATTCATAAATATGTATAAAAAAAAAATAAACAAACTTTTATAATACTAACCCCTCGATCACATAATTGAGTATTTTGATTACATAATGTATCAACTGGTTTAAAGAATTGTGTATCATTAAGAGGACATGTTGCTTGAATACCACTAGAATTATAAGAAAATCAAATAAGGAGATTGTACAAGATATCTCAAAAGTCTGCCGTGAATATTTTAAATAGTCTATCGATAAAATAGGATATGAATACGAATTTTAATATCAAGATCTAGTCGAATTAGGAATGAGAATGAATAACGAAAAAAAAACTTTCTTCAAAATTTTTTTTCGAAAAAGGTTAACCTCAGATCGAAGTAAAACATGCCGTCGTTTTTTATCAGTTCAACAAATTACGAAGAGAATTACTTCAATAATAATTAGAGCTTGTAGCAGGACTGTCAACCGTACCTGAGAAAATTTTCGTACTCCTGGGGTACATATTTTGTACTTCATTTCAACGTTTAAGTGTTCCATGCGATTAACTAATCTTCTAATGAAATAAGTTATGTTTCTGCTAGATTTTTCTCATTTTCATAAGAACATTTATAATAGAATGTATTAGTCAAGAACTAATCAATAGATATAAGCATCCATCTTGTTTAATTTAGTCCTAAACTTTTCGATTTTATACACTATTTTTATTATGAACAATGCAAAAAGTTTAAATAAATTTTTCTTCTTTTTTCATTATTTGTTCCTAATGACTCTTGCAAAATTTCTTGGACAAATATAAATGTGTTCATTTCTCATCGACTAAAATATATTTCTGAAAGATCGAAAATACTGATCTTGAATTCATGTCAAAAGCTCTTTTTAACTGTATATATTCAAGAATATTCTATCGCGACTCATTTTTCAAGTAATGAACACTTTTTTGAGTACAGAAAAATGCAAAGTTACTACGCCATCAAAATTTCATGATCTTCTTCAGTTTATTTGACGTAATTTTGCTTATTTTTTTTTTCGCTATTAGATCATTCCCTTCATTGTGGGAAAACTGTCGCGGAAATATTGCTGTTTTCTTGAAGTAACACTTGAAAAATCAGTGTCTATGATGTTAACATCTTTTAGTTGCTATTTGTTTTTTTTTTGTATCATGTTTTGAAGTTTGTCGTTTCTAAGAATTTCTAATACAAAAAGTCTCGCCTGTTGACAAGTGAGTTTCTCAGATCTTTTGTGGTCCCTAGTTCGCCTGATTTCTTTCTTTTTGAGGACGTCACTCGAATCTCAAAACCCTTTCTGTTCATTATCGTTAGACCTTCGGTTTTGACGTTATTCTGTAGATTATTCTTTTCAACTTTTTGATCATGCTATCCATTCAATGGTTTTTTGAGGGGAAACAAACAATGAAACTGATTCAGTTATTAAAATAGTGAAATATTGTGTTATTACTCCATGTAGACTTTCATAAATCCTATTTGTAAAACAACAAAATGGCAGTCCTGACCCGTAGCATTGGTCACGGACTCGGTTGGAATGATTTTGAATATCCGTTAGATACCAAATTATATAAAATAAAAGTTTAAAGAACATACTATAATATCAGAAATATATAAATATCTTAAAACTTTTTATGAGATATTCTTATTATCTTCAGGACGGACTTTTCGGACATTGTATATATATTTTTATTCAACTTTGACTTACTCGCATCGAACATCTCCAATACAATCTTGACTAGCCTTATCTTTATGGCATATATGAGAAGTTGAATGGAATGTACATTGGTCGGAGCAACATGGACCTTTAGATGGACTAAAAACAACAACAAAAAAAAAATATAAATATCAAAAATCATTCGCATTGAATATTTACCTGCAACGAGCACCTGGTTTTAATTTACAACCTAATTTAGCATCAGAACCACCAGCTGGATAACAACAATCATCTGTACATTCCGATATAAAACCACAATCACATTCTTCATCATCTTCAACATTTCGATTTCCACAATATCCAACTTGTGAACATTCTATTTTAAAATAAAAAAAATTTTTATATTAACAAACAAAAACATTTTTTTTTTCTTTCTATAATACCTGTTAAACAATTTATTTTTCCAGCAAGTTCATTTTTAATTGAAATAACAACTGGTCCCATTTTTTCCATACTACATTTAGAAAATTTATTATTATTTTCTTCAAGACCTGTTGTTGCTCGTCGATACATTATATAATGACCATAAGTTGCATCACCACCACATTTTTCATCATCATGCTAAACGAAAAAAAAAAACAACTGATGTTTATGACAGAAGAAGAACCATCCTCTCTATACATATATATATATATGATATAATATACGAACCTCAGCACCTAAATTATGTCCAACTTCATGAGCAAATGTTAATTCTGTCATCAATGATGATGTACGTGTATTATGATTGATAACAGTTATCATTCCAGTATTCAGTGTTTTCATAACACGTTGTCCTTCATAAACATCGTTTGCTGGTTTTTCACAAATACCACCGCGACTATCTGAAAATAAATTTAATATTAAATTTTATTGATTAAAAAACGCTAAGACATACTTGATGCAACACTTCCCATCCATGCTAAACCTAATGTTCCATCACCAAAATCTCGTGCAGCAAATATATATGCTAGACAATAATCAGCAAAATTTTCAGCTGAATGCCATGTTAATAAAACATTTGAATCAAGAAATGAACGACAAATATTTGTTTCACTTAAACTTAAATTTTTTTGTCCACAATCATCAGGTGTTAAAATCTAAAATAAATAAATAATTTAATATATAATGTGCTAAACTTAATATCAAAATTCGACATTTTACTTTCTTATTAAATCATAATGCAATTTTATACTTATGAATACTGTTCAACTTCCTAGTAAGGCTACAAGGTAGGTCTCTATGAGACTAAAAGGATTTGGGTTCATAGCTTATTAATGAAGAGTAATGGCCGTTTTGCTGAGTTTTGATTTCCGAAACAATTGAATTAAAGAATTTCAACATTGAAATTTTGTTCATAGATAGGTGTAACAGTTCTTAGAATCATCTGGAAGTTTCAGTCAAAATGAATGTTTCTCCTATCGAGATATTGAATTTTCAAATAAACTCGATTTTAGCAGTATGTCTCTGAAAATTCAATATCTCGAGAGGAGGAATATTCATATTTTGGCTGAAACTTTCAGGTAATTCTAAGAACCATCTATGAGCAAAATTCAAGTCGAAATTCTTTAATTCAATTGTTTCGGAAATCAAAACTCAGCAAAATGACCATAACTCTTCATCAATAAGCTATAGATCCAAATCCTTTTAGTCTCATAGAGACCTACCTCGTAGTCATAATATGAAGTTGAACCACATCCGTAAGTTGAAGACCTTCCCTTATTAGTCTTGAAGATTTTTATTCGCATAGAAATTCAGGATTCTAATTCAACATAAGCAAAAAATTAAAGCCTTTACTACTCAAAACTGCAACAATGGCTGTAGTCCGAAGATAACTAGACAATTCATCGCGGATATGAATGAACATCTTTTATGTACTCGTACACATCCATATCCATCCTCGATGACAAGGCAGATAAACATATTCCCTGACACCTCAAAAAAAAACAAAATAGGGGTCAAGCTTTTTCTTCCACGAGAATTTTTGTTTTTTACTATGTCGTGAAGAAAAATTCTGTTTATGTGCCCAAATGAAAACCACCCATGTAAATCTATATTTAAACTTCACGACCGATTATCGATAGCGTTCAGATATTAAAAAAAAACTAACATCTATGTTTTATCTAGCGTGAGAACGGTGTCCTGCCGAAATTCGATCTAATATTAAAATAAATAACATACTCGAATTCGTTTAATTCTTAATGTAAATCTATGTAGAACATCACCATTTGATTCAAATTGTAATGAACGATAAATAGCATTTGCTGCTGTTACTGTTCGATAAAGAAATGTAACAATTGCATGAATAGTTGGTTCTTTTTCCTATTTTATAATAAATAAATAATTTCTAAATAGAAAAAAATAAATAAATAAATTCAAATTCTTACATTAAGACCTTCATTTTTATAAACAACATCCCATAATGTTGGATCAACACGTATATAAATATAACAACAAGTACGTTCTCGTTCATTTTTATTTATTGTCTGTCGTTTTGATCTTGTATAACGAGATTTAAAATTTAAATTTTCATATTTATCATTTATTAATCGTTTTGTTTGTTTTTTCATATTTTCTCGATTATCATTCTTATTAAGTCCACAAAAAGATAATGATTCATCATTTTCATTAATTACAAATCGTTTAGATCGAAATGCATTATTACTATTCAATTTTGTCATATCAATATCAAGTGCATTGTATATTATTGATGGACCCATATTAACTAAATTTAAACCATATTTACGTGTTGGTTCAATATGCCAAGTTTCATTTGACATTTTAATTGTACCATCAAACCAATTTGAATAGAATCCACCACTAACATAAGATGTATCAGGATGATCTAATTAAATTATAAAAAGATTTTTAGTTATGAAAAATTAACAAGAATAAATCATTTACCTAAGACATAACCATCAAAAAGAATAGAAGAATTTATTCGAAAAAAAGACGATGAACCAAGATGAATATCAGCATCGATAGCAAAAAATTCATTCGTATTTTTTAAAATTAAAGTTATATTTCTAAACAATAAAAGATGTTAGAGTACAATCTCTATGACATTAAAATGTAGTAATTACTATTTGCTAATCACAATGAGATTGTTTTATTTTATCTATTTCGAAATACATCTCTCGTTACCATCCTTTTATTTAACTTCCAAATATCAAAGCATTATTGATATACAATCTGTAATAGTCTCGAGAGATTCAAACTTCTCCCCTATGTACTTCAACACTCTTTTTGCATTATGTTTCATATAAATGAAAGAAATATATTTACTTATGATCTAATTCAAGTGTAAGAATACGATCAGGATTATTTTTAATAATTGAACGTTTTCGCCGATGAATATTTGTTGTTGTTTCATCATGAATAGCACGAATAACACTATAACGTTTGATACCAAATGATGACAGATAATCAGCATTAACTAAAAAAAAAAAGAAAAGAAAAATTTTTGTGTTTATTCTTTTTTTTTTTTGTAATGAAAAATTACCTAATGGAAAATGTTGATATGACCATAAGATTCCCAAGAAAAATAGAAGATTGAGCAACCACGGCATTCATTCAGCCGTTATTCTTTTAATATCTAGAATATATTATATCTATGTTTAATTGTTAATTCTATCATAACATTTATATATTGAAGTAGAATATTCAATGATTTCTTTTGTAAATTTTATTTTAGATATTTGCCTAGAAGCAAAAAAAAACAAAGCAAGGTTATTGTCAAAATGAATGACCCATTTTTTTTATAGAAAGTAATCAAGATTCAAATAACAACTGGAACAGAGGTCATATATGTTTATAATAAATAGAGAGTGAAAAGAACGTGATATCATACATTCTTGATTTCAAGTCACGAACGATTAGCCAGCTGATGAGAATAGAAAGAAAGAATATGAGATGGGGAGAAGAAAAAGTCTTATTACTAAACAACCAATCAGAAAGTTAAATAATAAATAATAGAGAACTTTTATAAATCAAAAACTTTTTCTTATTTCATATAAGATCTTTTCTTAAAAATAAAAATAAAAAAAGAAACTATGATTATTAGTTTATCATATTTAACGCCATCTATATTAGTATATATCATGAATTTAATCGAATTCATAGTAGAATTTGTATTATTATTATTTTTTTATTTACTTTTTTTTTATAATATGAAAACTATATTTCAGTTCAATAATCAAGACAACTATGATGATGACGACAACCAGTCCAACAGCTGATTGTTATTTGACTATATAAGTGTCGAATCTAAATAATTTAAAAGCCTTCTTCGTCATGTTATTTTCTTCTTTTATCCCAATCTTTTGTTTTTTTGGTATTCAGTCATGTAGAAAGAGACAATCATATGTGAAAAATATTATCTATCGATTGATAACTTTATTTTCTTTTTTTAAGATGTCATCAGTATCATTTTTTGAACAATTGACAAGCAGTGTGTCAATTTCTATTGTGTCCATTATTTCAGTGGTCACTTTAGTTGTTATATTACTTTTTACAATTGCTAGTCGATTTTTCTTTTCTTCAACAACAAAATCAAGTTCTTCTACAAAACAATCTTCAAATAAAGATAAGAAAAACAAAGAAGTCAATACAAAAAAACAACAATCACAGGCGGATACAACATCAACTACAAAGAAGAAGAATAATAATAAAACAAAAAAGAATGCAACTGTTACATCACCACCACCACCGCCGGTTAAAACTGCTGTTTCATCATCATCAACACCAACAACTTCACAATCAGAAGAAAGTGAAAATGAAAAAGTCGATCTTGTAACATCAACAAAAAAGGTATGGAATTATTTATAAAGAGTATCATCTCTTTTGAATCATTTCTCGTTCTTCACGAATGTACAATCGATCGGATTCAAATTTTTGTCTATAGCTAGATTATCGAACATGGATCCTATCATTTGCTATAATCTAGCTGCGATAAAAATTCGAACTCGATTGGCGTTAGTTTCGCGAAGAATCAGAAATAGTTCAAAAGAAGGAAGTGCATTCTTAAATTTACATGTGAGAGAAAAAAAAGGGACCTTGACATTACTTATTTAGCCAATAAAATCAAACAAAACATCAACCGATAAAAAAACAGCTACTCCTAATGAAAACAACAAATCTACTAATGCAATGAATGGAACTAAAACGTCATCATCATCAAAACAACAACAAAAAACACCGGTACGTAATGAAAATATGGATGAAATGCAAAGTGGTGATAGTAAAAAGAAACAAACAAAAACTGTTGAAACATCTGTACCTAACAAACAACAAACAACAAAGAAAGGTATACTGATAATTTATTTAGATTATAATACCTAATCTTTTATTCATAGATAATACGACCAATAAAGCCAATGCGACAACTTCAAATAAGAAACAACCAGTAGTTAATAATCCTGAAGTTGTTATACGACCATCGGTTAATGATACAGTTGATAGTGATCATGAAGATGAAGGTCAATGGCTTACACAAAGCAATAAACAAATTAGCAATCGTAATCGTAATAAACCAAAACCTGAAACATCAAATCAACAAACATCACCATCATTAAATCGTAAGACAACAACAGAAAAACGAACAACAATACCAACTAATAATACATCATCATCATTAACAAATAAAAATGAATCTGATGTTGAAACAACAACATCAAATACACCTATTACACCATCACCACCAAAACAAGAACCAATTGAAATTTGTCAATTATTACCAACAACTGAAAATCGTTATACAGCTAATGATGATTGGTGGAAACAAGCATTAAATAAACAACAAACATTTTCTATTGATGATATTGGTGAATGGCCTGAACGTGAACAAGATGAACAATATATTGTTCAAGTTAAACGTATTATACCAAATAAAACAGCATTAAGTGAAAAAGATATTAATATTGATGAAAATGATTCAATTAATAATTATAAAGATGAAAAAGATGATGAAGTATAAATTTTTTATTTAGAAAGAAATAATTCGTTGTATTTTTTTTTTTATTTTTAGAAATTAAATTTTAATGAACAGGTTAATGCATCATCGGCTGTCACAGGTAAATAAATGTTAATAAAAATAGTTATGAATATTCAAAAAAAAAAAATTTTTTTTGTTTTTTTAATAGGTGAATCTACCACAACATCACAGTCGAAAAAGAAAGCAACAAATGTACGTTGACTTCCTTAAGCAAAAAAAAATTGAAGAAATTCTTGTTGTTTCTGTTTTCTTTCTTTTTTTTTTAATTTTATCTCCGATTATTTATCTATTTGTTTTTCTTTTCGTTTTCTTAATCCATTCTTTTTTTCATACGTATTTCTCTGTTTTTGAAACTATTATGATACTTTAATTGCCTTTGGTTCTAGTGGTTGAAAGATTGAGGATGATTTTAGCACGCTTTTAAGTTTGTGCGATTGCTTTTCTCTTTTGTTTTGTTTTTATTATTCTGCTATGTTTCTGTATGATGGTTGAAAAAGGGTAATAGGGTCTATATGGGTAATCTTTGTGTGTTAATGGGGTGATTGGACGCGTGCAATCTGCATTATATAACAGTTTTACTTTGTTCTTAATAGGTAGCTCATATTCTACAACAGTAATTTTTATTTATCGTTTTTCTTTTCATTTTTTGTTGTTTTGTTGATTGAAGTGATAAACAAAAAAAGAACGAAAGAAAAAAAGAACTGTTGGCCTGATAATTTGACACTTCCGATTTGTTTAGTAGTTGTTTATGTTGATGATTTCTTTTTTTTTCTTTCTCTTATTGTTTTTTTCTCTTCTATATAACCATTGTTGTGTTGTTTTTTCTTCTATCTTTTCTTGTTACTTGTAGTTCTGGAAAAGAAAAAAAAAAAATAACTATGAAAAGGTGAACTTGTTTTTTTTAATCTACACTTCAATGTTGTTCATGCCGTTGTTGCTTTATAGAAAAAAATAAAAAAGAACATTTTCATTTTAACTAAAAGAATATAAAAGGAATAAATAATTGTATAGCCGGAGGTTATGATTTGAAATAATTTATTTCTAAAGTAGCAATTGAAATCTAACAGAATGATTCTATAACATATTCTTTCATACAGTAAAACATTTCAATAGGCAATCTTATTTCTGTCTGGATTATGTGTGCTTAATACTTTTTTTTTTTTTGTCTTGCATTTTCTTACTATTGAATTGAAAACATAGAGAGTTTATTATCAAATATTTATAACTTTTAGTCGGACATGTATGTAAAAAAAAAGAAAAACAATTTCCATCAGTTAAAACATGATGTTAGTGATAAAATAATTTGATTTATTTAAAAAATCATCTAATATTTTCTTGTTTGACCAAACCATATATGCAGCGAATAATAAGATTGCCAATATACAAAATCTTTTTTTCTATATATAAGTTCATCTATAAAATCTGACCAAGGTGTTGATCGATCAGAAGAAGCTAAAAGTGTAAGACTCCATAAGTGTTCATGATGATCGAGAATTACTTTCATACTGTTAATATCTCTTATGGTTAATTCTAAATATTTTATATGATGTGAAATCATTGAACAAATAATTTCCATATTTATAATATCATTATAAGAAGAATAAGGATGTATTGCAAGTGTACTTAGATTATAGGCTAATTTCATTAGAATATGAATATTGTTTAATGTATTATGTATAGAGTTAGGATTTAAATCAGGATTAAAAGTGATTTTATCGAGACGAGAAAGATCGATTATTTTTGAAAGAAATTCAACACATTCTTTTGACCATTCTTGATCCACATCTATTGTTAATCTAGTTAAATTGCGAAATAAGTATTGATTTGATAATTCATTCTGCAAAATACAAAATAGATCAATTTATTTTGAAAGTCAGTTAAATAGATGCATCTATGTTTAAATCAAAGTTCTAAAATTTCATTCTGAGACTTCAAAAAAAAAACTCATTGCAACAGGTAATTTGTTATTCAATTCAAATAAACAAATTTTAGGTATTATTTAAAGACTTCTTTTTTTTTATAAATCATTATGTATTTATTGAATATTGATATCAAAGATGATAACTGTAATAATTTAAACATACCTTCATTGTAGCGACACCAGCCATAAGTTTCGTTAAAGTCAAGTTTATTGCACGTACGTTCTCTGTTATTATGGTATCAGTTTCCATTGTGAGCAAACTAGAGTATGAAATTTTATTTGCTTGACATTCATATGTAAAGTCAGTACTACATAGTGGTATTGTATAGAGCATAGTCTGATTGAGATAATCTATATAATCACAGACAACGTACCAATGTTTCTCTTCGAGCCAAAATCGTGTCTGAAATCGAGAGATAAGCAATTGAACATCTGTAGATTCATAGTAAACATTATACATATTCGTAAAGAAGAACTCAAATTTGTGCAAAAGAGGTAAATTTGTACTAATAAATTGTTCCCACTGAGATCCATCAGAAATAGTATTAAATGAATCAGGTAAAGATATGATTTTCAAATAATTTAATGAAGGTGTTAAAGACAGAACTGATGTAAGTTCATTCATCATCATTCGACTATCAGTTAATATTAATGATGTTAATTGCTCATATAAGATAGGATCAGATAATGTTATAATATATTCATCGATTTTATGCATTGAACAATGATTTAGTGTTAATGTTTTTAAATTAGGTGTTTCACGAAGTATAGTACAATATTGTTTTTGTGTTACATACATCAATATAAGATGTTCTAATGTATATTGAACTGGCCATAACATTTCTTCAATAGCATATGATCCAGTTTTAAGTTCAAGTTTACGAAGTTTAAGTCGATTTAATATTGACGAAAGAATAGTTAAAGTTGTCTGACTAGGACAATGTGATTCTCGCCAATTAATCACTAATGATGTAATTGTTGATGTTATATTCTCATGTAAAATTTTATTTAGATCGTCTTCATCAATTTCAAGAAGAGTTAATGAAAGTAATCGAGTAAATTGATCAATGTTAAATGATGAAAAAAATAATCTAATTTCACCTGGTGTTTTATTTTCATCAGAAAGCGTCAATGAAAGAATATTTTCAGGTTGAATAAGTTGACAAATATAATGAAATTTAGTTTTTGAAATTGAACGAAAATCAAGTTGATAATGATTGTAGGTTTTAGATATTATTCGAAGATATGTACATACATTAGAAAATGATAAAAAAATAGTTGATATATCAAGATAATCAATAATATGATACAAAATCTCGACTGGTAAGGTTAAAAGAGACATATTATGCGTTATAGATATAATGATTAAGTCTTTTCTTCAATTGTAAAAAAATTTATTCATTTTTCGATTTACATTGATTCATAAAATCAACGTTATGTAGTTATATATTTTGATTAGCAAAAAAGAAATATGCACATAACGAAGGCTAAGCTGAAAAAAAAAACAAATAGATAGGAAGATATAGCAAAGAAAAAGCAAGGGAGTATATTTTCATATATGGTATAATATCTATCTCTTCAGCGATATTTGTTTTCCTTATAAGAAAACAAAACCTATCTGAAAGGAAAGAGAAAAAGATCGATGTTTTCTCTTCTTTCTTGTACAAACCAAGTTATATGAAACATGTATCAACAGAGTGCATTAAGATAATTCTGCAACAATTGCCTGTGATTTCAATTCTTTTCGTATCTCAAGTTTAACTTCATCAACTCTCATCATAATAGTGATGTAGTCGCAATAGGCAGACTTATCTTGTAATTTCTGTAGAAATATCAGACTAGAACGTTGAAATCTTATAAAATCATGATTCTTATAAAAGAAAAATATATAATTTTCTAAATCTTACGAGTCATGATGATATCAGAACCATCAAATTGTAAAATACAAACAACCTCGGAAAGTATGACTTCCAACTGAGAAACATGATGAAAAGTGATGAAATATGTTATGAGATCAACACTAGTGTCAGCTAGACAAACAATGAAATATATAAACATTGAAAAATTAATCGACATCATCAAAATGTTTTGAAACATGTGCAAAATCTCCTTTCTGTTTGTTCGCAAACAATTTATATACATGTCTATTCGAATTTTAATTTGATCCATTATAAAATATTTCAAATAGCTATTTTATATTCATAAATCTTTTTTTTCTCTCAATCATCTAAAGAGAACAATTTGATTTTTTCACTTGTTTTCGCAAGCAAAATACTAATAAGCCAAGTATAGAAAAAAGGTGAGATACACTATTTAAATAAATGAAAAAGAAAATTACCAAGATCAATAATCGATTGGTTTAAGTTAATATTTACGAATGTCTCTTGATCATTCTGACTATTATAATTGATTCTACAAAAAAAAAATTTTCTTTACTCAGATGCAAATACTCGCAAATCTCACGAGATATGATTGTATGCAGTACACTGCACTGATTCTGAATATTAGGACTCGAACGACCCCTAGGTCTTTTTAGACTCTATATCATGACTACTATCCCCTTCGGATAAGAATATTTTTCATCAAATTCAACTTCTAAACAGTCCACATTGTATGATTAGACAAAATATCTGCATGAACATTTGTTTCCCACACATATCAACTTTAAGTTTCAAATACTAAACTATAAAGCAACGAAGTAATTCACGTATTGACTATAAAGAATGTCACCTGTCATTTATTCTCATTTATTCATCAAATATTTACAAATCAATCATATCAATACGATGATTAGTTTGTGAATCTTATAAGAATAGAAGAAACAGGACAAAACAAAAATATCGTATATGAATCATAGGGACCAACGAGTGCGTATCGGGTGACCTAGAGCTATATTTTAGATGTCAAAAAACAAAATTTCTATATTATTAATTGAAAGAATAAACAGAAATCATAATGTTGATACATAACTAGTGAATAAAATTGAGCCATAAGTGTTTTACTACTTTGGGATACATAGAAAATTGATATACTTTGGACTATTTAAAAGTAATGGCAGTAGTACTTTAAATTCTTTATAAAAAGCTTGAAGAAACTTTTTCTTCACATGGATTGATAGTAAAAATGATGCTCGATTTTTCTGTGCTATTACATCATTCCACCAGTAATATAGTTTCGATAACACCTATTTTTCTACCATCCTTTTTTAAAGGCAGAGTGGATATTTTTTTGAGTAATTTCTGATAGGAAAGAGATAGAGAGCAGCAATTTTCAACGTTCGAAAGAGGAGACAGAGATGCATCAAATCATAAATTATGACTTTTTTTGACATAATTTTTTTAAGGTTTTCAATTGATCTCTTTGAAGATAAACTTACTCCGTGAGATGTTCACAGCAAATTTTTGAAATCACCACAATGAAAGTTCTATAAAATTGCATAATTTTTAGTTATTTAGAATTAATTATTCAGAAGTTATAGACATACTAGTCGAAGCTCTAAGTGATTTTTCTAGCCATTTCTGTAAAAAAAAATTTTTTTTCCACACTTAGAAAATTAATTAAACAAACTTCAGACAACATGCTAGGAAAACATAATATATGATTCAATGCATCTTTGTTTCCTCTTTCGAATGATGAAAATCGCAGCTCTCTATGTTGTTTCTATCAAAAGTTATTCAAAAAAATATCCACTAAATAGACATTAGTATAACTATTACATATGATAGAAAAACATGTTTTATCGAAATTTTATTATTGTAATATTATTTGAAGAATGATGTAATAACATAGAAAAATAGAGCGTCATTTTTATTATCAATACATATAGAGAAAAAGTTTCTTTGACCCTTTGATGCCGGGCGTGGTATATGTACCACTTTGAATATTTCTCAAAATCTGGGGATGATATAAATACCAAATTAATCAAAAGTAAGTAGAAATAGCCTATGGAATAGTTTTCCTTTGTTGACACAGAAAATGATCAGTATTTCGAAAGTGTCGGAAATATCTACACATACTGCATTTAGTATTTTCCAACATTACATAATGAATTTTCTTCTTGTGTTGTCATACATTCTTTATTGGAGTTCTCTAAAGTATGGCAATCAACAATGTATTTCTGTTGGAAGACTATCATCTGATTCATCACTATGTTTATCTGCTAGACATTTCCTATCACGTGTTCCCTCAATTGTCTCAAAAAAAGGTGCCCAAAGGAAATGTCATGTATGGTCTCATACAACAAGATGTAGAAAATCAGTCAAATATACAAGATATCAATGTAAGGCATGCGATGTTGGATTATGCATAATTGATTGTTTCAAAGTTTAGCATACTCTAAAATACTTTTTATAATAATTTTTTGATTGAATAAACATCTATTTTCATTTATATAATAAACTTAATTTTTTCAAAAAGAACTCCGACATCAAAGAGTTAAGATTACGAAGTGTCAATAAACCAAATATTATCATTAATAAAAGCATTGAAAGATCCTTTATTAATATTGAATAAAAAAAACTAAGAAATGTTGAATATGGATCTGATGGATTTGAACAAATAGGATTTGTTCCATTTAATGATATACTATATATCATAATAGATTATATTATGAACACATACTATCATCCAAAATAAATATGTTAACAAAATTATTTTTAAAGCAACACGATGAGATTTGCTATACTCATCACATATCTACAATTTCATTTTACTAATCATAAAGAACCTTAATTTACAAATCCATAACCATTTCGAAGACGGATCAATATTAAAATCAATTTGAAGAAGTTTTAATAAAGCTACAATATTTAAATAAAGAGCGAATCCAAAAGAAACAAATATTAAATAAAATGAACATGAACTTGATCGAAGTTTTTTACTAATTGAAAAAACAATTACATTAAAAATAGATCCAAAATTACCAATAATAATGATAATCGGTACTAAAATATTAAATAATTGTTTTTGGAATAGAACAAACTCAACTGTTGTCTACATTAACTCATAGTTTTAAAATTAATCGAAAGAAATAACTTTTCTAAACAAAATTTTATAATTAAGATTTTGTACTTTTTGTTTGTTATCAATAAGAAGATTAAAAAAAAACAAGATCTTTTTCAATATATTCGAATTACAAATATTATTATGACGTACCCCTTTTGTTTTCTAATCAATAAGACATTGCTTCAATATCATCTTATATAATCTAGAGAAATCTAGAAAATGTTGTTCATTCCTATGACAACATTGACTGTTCATCGAAACACATTTATCAATATAATGATCTTAACCATAACCGAAATGTCTGATCTTTATTATTCTCTTTTGTTTTATCTAAATAGCATTATCTTAACAACTTCCATCGGACATCTCTTTATTTACAAGATTTTTTTATGGAATTCACATATATATTTTCAAAGAAAATAGTGCATGTGAGTTTTAAATCGGAGTTTCATGGGTTCTCCCTTTCCATTACAGATCTTAGCAAGCTGGATTATAGGTTCTGAACGACACATTAAGATCTGATGTCTAGATATAATGAATGTGTACAACAGGCTTATTTATTCATTCAATCAATGATAAGACTAATAATAAGTTATGCAAATGAAATAAAAAAACAAAAGTAAAGGCCAAGAAAAATAGTAACAAAACAAATAAGAGAGTGTCACAAAGATATGTGAATTACATATTTCAGCCTCGATGGACCTGCACTAACAACCTTTTTTTGTCTATTCTTATTAATAACTTCATTTTTTTTCTTTATTATTAAAAATAAATCATAAAAAAAAAATTTTACATTATGTTTGACTTTTTCGAGTCATTAGATAATAATTTTTAAATTGAGTTATCTAAGGGTGTGGATGTGGGTCCAGTATTAAAGTGCTGAGAGAAAGTCTACAGCTACACCTTTAAGACATTCAATGAATGGCTTTTTCTTAGTTAAGAAACACTAAATAACTTAAATAAATGTTGTTTTTTTTCAAAGATTTTGATCGAGGTCTTTAAAACTTCTCTAAACAAAGTATTTTCATTGGTGGTGATTCATACAAAAAACAGTAAAGGATTGACAAAGTTCTTCTGAATAAAGATGAGACGATTTCTTTTTATTATAAATTTATTTTGCAAGAGAATTTAGTAATGGCGTATATAATATTTTAAAATATACACTATCGTAGTTTAATATTGATAAGATGATACATATAAATGTTTGTCACCTTATTCTCTTATCAAATAGAGAACTCTTATTGCGCTGAAGAAAAAAACATGTTTTCATCATGTTTTTTCTTCATGTTATTTATATAAATGAATTAAAATTTCTATATAAATTAAAGAAGAAAATAGAAAATAAATATTTGTCTGTTGAACTATTATCTGAAAAAAAAAATAACTGAACTTTCAAAAGATGATTTTATAATCAATGTCAAAGTTAATTACTATGTGTTTATATACATCAAGAATAAATACTTTAAGAGATACGAGAAAGTTTGTTTTTTTTTTCGTCCTGTGATTGTCCATTATTTAAAGACAAGCATTTATCTATTAAAGAATTGAAAATTATTTAGTTTTTTTTATGAAAATAGGTTCGTAGAAAAAGAAAATCGTTTATTTTATTTAATAAATTTATTTATTATGCGGATAAAAATGTTTCCTTTAAAAAGCAAAAAAGAACAAAATTTACAAATAAATATAGCTGATGTATCTCCTATTATTGAAGAAACAACTGATGATGATGTATCAAAACATCATAAGGGAATATATTGGCGACTTCTTTTTCTTAATTTAGTTGTATTATGGGCATATCAATCATTAATTTCTGCACAAAATTATTATCGTAAATTTTTTCCTTATGATAATTTAGATTTTTGGGGAACAGTATCAGCTGGCACAAGTATGTTTTTTCTTCATATAATTCAATTATATTTTGGTGTTTATAAATATGGTTTTACAAAACGTGTTATACCTGGTTTTATAGGTTATGTTATTATTGCAATATTAGTTATGGCTTTAAGACATAAAATTGTTTTAATTGTTGCTTTTGCAAGTGTTGGTGGAATAAATACAATAACTGAATCTCCTATTTATGGTATTGCAGGATTATTTACAACTGGTTCATTTACTCAAGCTGTTCAAGTTGGTAATGGTATGGCTGGTGTTTTAAATGTTACTGCAAATGTAATAATTCGTTTAATTGTTTTACTTGTTCATAGTCATACTGATCAAGATCAATTATCATTTTATATATTTATGAGTGTATTAATAATATTATGTTTTATAGCTGTTTATGTTTATTATCGTTTAATACATATTCCTCCAGTTAATATAAGAATAAATCAACAAATGGCTTCATTTAAACGACAAAAACTTGGTAATATTATTGATTTATATCATGATGAAAATAAACTTTCATTTTGGACATTAACAAAAATTTTAAAAACTCATTTATTTGTTCAATTTTATGTTTTATTTATAAGTTTATTGTTATGGCCAGGTATTCCATGTAATGCATCAAATACTGGTTGGTTTAATTCTAATGGTAAACTATGGTGGTGTTCACCATTTGTTATTGGAACATTTAATCTTGGAGATCTTTTTGGTCGTACACTTGCTGTTAAAGTTCATCAATATTTTTCTTCGAAAATTTGTTTAGTTTTTGCACTTTTAAGAACTCTATTTATTGTAATTATATTTTATCGTCATCATATAGATAATATATTTCTTCTTGGTTTAATAATATTAATGGGTATGACAAATGGTCTTCTTGCAACAATTACATTTATGGTTCGTCCTCAAACAATTGTTGGTGTTAATAATTGTGAAAGAGCTGCTTATTTAATGACAGCATCTCTATATTTTGGAATTGCAAGTGGATCTATAGTTGCAGCTGCTTTAGCATTAGCTCATGTTGTTTAATATTTAATTTTATTGTTATAAGAATAATAAATATCTTCATTTGAATAATAATAATTACTCATCTTAGATCAATTGAATATTTTCCAGCAGCTACCGGGACTTATTTGTTCGGGATTTATTGGGATTTTTCAATAAGTCCGTAAGCACCTTGAGATAAATCCCATACAGTTCCTCACTACATACACAATATGGATGGAAGTGTGGGTGTAGGTGTGGGTGAGGGTGCGGGTGTTGATGTGAGTATAGTGGGATAGCATCAATATTAATAAATCCTCAATAAAGAAATAAGTCCTCTAGAGAAAAATAAACCCCGAAAAAATAAGTCCCGGTAGTCCCTCAAGATTAGAGTGGCATATATTCGCTTATAAATTATCACTTTTTTAGAAGTTTTTCGATTTCCTACTGCAGAGATGTTTTATTTTTGCTTTATTGCAATGTCTATTTGTACAATAATGTACAAAAAGAAATAGGTAATTGTCACATAAATGATTATTTCTTCAAGCTTTTTATTTTTTAATTTTTATTGTTTTATTTACATAATTATAAACGATAATATTTTTTCATTGAAATTATTTCAATATCTGAAATTGATCTATAATACCTTTGAAAAGAAAAGTATAAACATATCTCTCATAATCGTTCATTGGTTTTGCTTGAATATTGAAATATTATTATTTTATTGATAAGTGAAGTTTGTATTGTGAAGTTCATTTCATGAAAAAGAAAATGTCCGCGGTAGTATAGTGGTTAGTATCCCCGCCTGTCACGCGGGAAACCGGGGTTCGATTCCCCGCCGCGGAGTAGATTATTTTTTTTTCTTTTTCTATATAAATTAATGCGAAAGATTAAACAAAATGCCTCGGTAGTGATGTATTCAGATTTATATTTAAAATTTTTTTTGTTTAAAACTTCGTCGATGATCAAAAAAAATATAATATAAATTCGAAAAGAAAAACTTGATTCTTTCTTGTAACAAAAATTGAAAAGTTAAAGATAAATTTGATCTCAATTCAAATTATAACCGAAATAAAAACCTAACTCTAAGTTATGTAAATGAGTCGAAGATAAACTTTTGCAGAATTATGTATAAATCCATAGTTGAGAAACTCAAGTTTTCAACAGTCTAAACTAGCTTTTCTTTCAATGCCACAATCAATAATCGTCTTGGTGTGTACTCGATGAAGCTAACTTTCATTTTTAGTATTGCAAAATTATAAACAGCATAATCGAATACACTAGAATACCACTACTAAAGATATTGATAATTGAATAATTACTAGAGACTCAAACACTTGAAAATTCGTTTCAATTTCTATTCTTCTAACTTCCACATATAAATATCATCCAGCAAATCTATATTTTTGCTTACTTTGTTAAGTTTACAATAAAGTCGTTATAGATACATTTTTATTTTTGTCTTTTACCTGTTGAAACTCTGATGTAATATCGAAAATTTCAGTTATATTGTAAGTACTCATGAACTGTGAATAATTACATCAAGACAACTGAAGAGAAATAATAGAAAATTTCCTTTCTAACGCAGTTGATTGGTGATAATAAAAGTTCCGCAGATTAACCATTTTAATCAACAATGATAATAAATAAAAACTAATAATAATACTAGACTCAACTACCTACTTTAGTTCTTTTTTTCTCTAATATGGTAATAAGGTTTAAACTACATGTCACATGATGCGTAGAAAGTAAATAATAAAAAAAATAAGAGAGAGAGAGAGAGAGACACGTGAATCGAAAATAGATTGTCAATAGCAAAAAATTTTTGTTATACATGTCACTAAATGTTTTCGTTCTCTATACAACATTACATCAAAAAAAAGAAGTGAGTAACTTCTACTTTAATTTCTTCTGAGTTATATCAACTAAATTTATGAAAACTTCAGGACACTAAGACACTTAAAAAATGTTAAGTCCTTGAAGAGTTTTATCTGACGAGTTATAACAAAAATAAAAGACTCCATTCCTTCATGCTTCAATAAATATCCAGAAAGTAAAATCGTTCATATGTCTGAATCAAGACATACGACCATGAACTTTTTGACGTTTTTCATACAATAGTCTACAATATTGATCAAAAAAAAAAGATGAACTCAAATGATGAGTAACATTTGGTAATGTACTCTCATTAGCTAAGATCATTAAAAGAAATGATACAAATGTCGATAGAGACTTTAGTGTGTGTGTGTGTGTTTTTTATGGAAAAAGAGCGAATAAAGGACAAATACAAAATTTCTTGATAAATCAGTTGATCAATGTTAATTAAATTTCTTGTTAGATCATCTTTTCTTTTTCTCACATAGGGAGATAAACTAGTAAGAAGATTAAATTTACAAGAATATAATCCAGTCATAATCATTTATTAATGATATTTTCATGAATAATTTTTGAAATGAATATCTTCCAAACAATTCTAATTTGTAACCTTTCAAATTTTAGAGAATCCTCTAACAGAAAAAAAATCCATCTTATTTAATTAAATACAATTAAAAGTTATTTCTTTCCGATATATATATTATAGCTTTCGAATATACATACATATATCTAGTAGTGCTTAAAAGCAATTCAGTTTAGTATTTTTATATAATTCATATCTCATATGTATATGATTTTATTTGATTTATTTCAAAATCAAATCGATTATATTTGTAATTATAAAAATTAAGCAAAAATATCTTATATGACTCGACTTCAATCTAGTGGCGGCGCCAGACTACTAGCGCCCCTCTTGTTTTTTGGGGGGGGGGCAGTAGAAGGTGGCGCTCCCAATACTTGTGCCTTGTAATCAAGAATACACAGTGTCAATATAGTAGTAGGACATTCTTCTGTCCTTAATAGAAGAAGAGAGAAGCTTGTGTTCTAGTTCTGCTATTAGCGGCTCTACTATTGATTTGCATCCTGGAGAACACGACATACGTAGAGATGGCGCCACCTTCCACTGTCCTCCCCCCCAAAACAAGAGGGGCGCTACTAGTCTGGTGCCGCCACTACTTCAATCAAAGATCCAGAATATTAACTAAAAGTATTTGTCTTGGTTTTAAAAATACGAGTTTCTCAATTGTATTACTAAGATTACCTTCTTGAAAATAGACTTTAGGTTAAATCATAAAAAAATAGTTGATAATGACATATCCAACTCTCTTAATCTGTATACGCACGTATTACCTAGAAAAAGAAAAAAGAAACAACAAGTAAAAAGAATCTTTTTCGCATAATATTATTTATAAAGAGTATAGGTAAATAATCTGATCGAAAAGAAATGAAATAATATTTTAATAAATAAAGGCGAAAAAAAAACCACTTACTGATTCATACGAAAAATAGAAATAATAACTTATTTATTTATTGATGCATACGAAAATATTACAGGTGCTGTATATCATCTATCTAATCAAAAGGTGAATATAATTTTTTTTTTTTCATTAACAAAATATGTTTATATAATGTTTCTTACAGTTAGTCAAAATTAAATGCAATACTTAGTAAAGTAGATAATAAGATTTAAGTTTTATTCAATTTGAAGAATATAAAATTAAAACATTCGATTAATCAAAACAAAAAAAAAAGCTTACATTCATTTTTTGATCAGATAAACAATATAAAATAACTAAAATATTCATCTATCTACCTACCGATGAGTAAGCTATTGCGACTATTTTTTTTTCCTTAAATATAAACAAAGTAAAATAATTATTTGATTTATTGTACTGTCATTTCAACTTTATCGATAGTCACTGCAATTGTTACTGTTGACTCTATCGACAAGCCAAACAAGAATATACCAACAAAAATATTATAGATTATCGATCACTGTATTTAAAAACAAAGTGTATATTGTATATGGAAACGCATGATAATGCATTCTAATATTATAGTGATGATTATGAAAAATTATGTGAACTCGTTTCCAGATATAAATTTTTAAGCAAAGATCTTGATTGAAAATGGCCGTTCAACAAATGAGACCTAGAAGAAAGACGATATTTGGCGATATATTTATCTAAAGAGAATATACTTCGTACATTGTTTAATTATTGAAACGAATAATATTCGAGATTTTACATGATATTATGCAAACCAAAAGTCACCAAATACTGAGCTAAATACATTTGTGTATCTCAATTTATTTTCTGGATTTGTGATTTTGTTGTTATTAAAGCAAAAAAAAAGCTGGAACTGGATATATTATAATTACAATTAAACTTGACATGTAAACATTAGAAAAAAAAATATTTTGAAATCAGTTATCCGTGAAGAATTACTAGTTCAGTGAGTAGTACAAAAATTATTAATCCTATTTCGTTTTTGTATTTTCAAAAAATATAATTATTAAGCAAATCAAATATGTTGTCTGATAACTACGTAACATATTGAGTAATCAGAGTAGCAAAATTATGAATGATTTATCTTTTGTAAATATTAGACTAGAGAATGGTATAAACGAAATGAATGTCACAGATATTATTCTTGTATCTTTAACAAGTGAGAGACAATTGATATTCTATCAAGTTTGACTAAAGATATATTTTTCCACTTACGAGAGAATTATTTTGAGATAGTAACGATTTTTTTATTATTATAAAACTTGACTAAGGACAGATGACGTTCAGCGATTCGAATATATAGATGCTTTCTCAATATTTTTAAAATAAATTATTCGATCAGAAAAATTTATAAACAATTGTTATTTTCTTAGAATAAGTCTTTCCCCTGAGTGAAAAATCAAAATCGAAGATTTTCAAAAGCTGACGATCACATTCAATTTCTCGACTCCGATAACTTTTGGTCAAACGTTATACAAAATACCTTACTTTCTCAAAACAAGCATCCATTGACTGAGAAAATCGAAGTTATGATTATCAAGAGTTATTGTACCAATTTTCATGATAATCAAACAACTTTTTTATTATCAATATTAGATAACGAGTAAGATTTCTTTTACTTAGTAACTTGTGACTTTTCTGTTAATAGTTATCCAGTAACGTCATTGCCCAATGACAGTAACTTTCCTCCTTTACTCCAGATGGTTCCCAGTAAATGCTAGCAGAGTGGAATCAAACAAGAAACGAATAACTTCGAGACATTAGCATTAAAATGAAATCAATGGTGACCATTGTGTCACTCATATTTATCTGAGGCCATTCAGATTCACCAGCATTTTTAGTGCGTCAATATAATTGCACACGAAATATAGTAGTAGCACATTGTTATCATTAGTTCTTAGACTAAAACCATTGACTCTTTCCTATTTAGATGGGTATATCCTATATTTTAGGGATATCCTAGACCTCATATTCATCGCCAGAAATCAATAATGATTGATCTATCGTCAAGATCTCTATTTTCACGGTGTTGTTTGTTGAATCAATAAAATCACGACTATTATTTGGCTCACTAATTGGTTAACAAATGTATCTTTTCTATAAAATATATTTATACTGTCATGCACACATGAGTAATCTATGTGCAGATGTTTATATTTACAGGGTGTACCAAAATTATAAGACCCCCTTTTATTTTTGAAGTTTTTCCACAAAAACGGACAGCTAGGTGAAATCTAAATAGTGATTTGAATAGCCCTTGAAAATCTCTATCAAATACAGTATGAACCAGAATGTCTAAAGAAACTTAGTGAAGAGAGTTTTCCAGAAAACCGTTTCATCTAAAAATTGTGTTTTTGACAGTTTTGACAAAAACGTTTTTAAATATAGTCATCCGAAAGAGCAAAAAATTCTGAGCAAAATGAGTGATTGACCAGCTCTCCACGATGTTTCCTCGCAGAGTTATAGGCACTAGAAGAATGGGAAAAATTGCAGAATTAATCAAAAAACCGCTAAAATACATATTTTTTCCATTTTTCTGGTGCTTATAACTCTGCGAGGAAATATCGTGAAGAGCTGGGCGACCACTCATTTTGCTCAGAATTTTTTGCTCTTTCAGATGACTATATTTAAAAACATTTTTGTCAAACCTCTCAAAAACTCGATTTTTAGATGAAACGGTTTTCTGGAAAACTCTCTTCACTAAGTTTCTTTAGAAATTCTGGCTCATACTGTATTTGATAGGGATTTTCAAGGGCTATCCAAATCACTATTTAGATTTTACCTAGCTGCTCGTTTTTGTGGAAAAACTTCAAAAATAAAAGGGGGTCTTATAATTTTGGTACACCCTATATATTGACAAGAATCTTTCAAATCAAAAGAGTACAGAATCTTACCTGAACTCGAAGAAATTTCAAATAGTCTGCAATCCTCTTCAAGCTGGTTGTTTTCTTAATCGATAAGTTCAGATTATTTTCACGTTGAACTTTAGACATGAATTATTTTTTCTTTTCTGACATAAGAAGTTTGTCTGAGCTTCAAAATGAAAAGAATACTTGGTTAATCAATCAAGAAAAACGAATATCAGAAGATAATAGATTTTTAAGAATGTCAATTAATGTTATTGATCAAAGTTGGCTTTATGAAATGGATGGACATAATTATCAACAAGACAATGAATTCTCAAAAAAAAAATCATATAATCTAGAATAAAAGAAAATTCTCTATGTATTTTTTTTTGTTTTTATTGAAGTCCATTTGTTTTTTTTTTTGAATATTTGCATATATTTCAGATGGAAAACAGCGTATTACAATTTAGAATTATCTCATTGAAAGATTCTGCTAAAAAAAATTTGGATAATACATTATTTTACATTAAAAAATTTGTAGAATCACCAACACAATATGGTAAAAAATTAATTGATACTATTGATAATATTATAAATTAGAATAGATTTGGAATTATTTTAAAGAAAGAAATGAAACTATCCTTTTTCTTTTAATTGGAATTTTTAAAAGTTAGAATTATGTATTCGAAAAAAACTAAAAAAAAAATTTTTTTTTGCATTTGAAGTATTTAATAAAATTCTTTATATAAATAGGTGATACAATCAAACTTGAACCAAGTTTGGTAAAAACACCAATTGTTATTTCTGTAAATGAAATATTCGATTGGAATAAAAATGATGGAAATTATTGTCAAATTATTTGTTTAACACCAACATCAAAAATTATAGCAGACATTGTTTTATGGTTTGATTCTTTATTAGATATTATGAATAATACTAAACGTAACGAAAAAGTTCAATCAGAATTACCTTGTAGTGTAAGATTTATTTTTTGATTCTAAAAAAAAATTTCTTGCTTTTTTTTTTGGCTTTATTTTAGATGACTCTTAAAGAAGAATATGATCTTCAATTTAGTCTTCAATTGATTGGAAATTTAAAGCCTTTAATTTCTTCTTGTAGACTGAAAATTTTTAAGTTATTTTTTTTGCTTTGTATTAATTTTCTTTTTTTTTTTGATTAGCTACTGTTCCAAAAAAACTTGATCGTCATAAAAAGAAATTAAGTCGACAACAAACTCAAGGTCATTTAATGGAATTAAAACAGTTTAATCAACCAGTTCGTTGTGCTGTATGTGATGAACTTATTGGGTATTCTTTTTTTCTTTTAGTTTTTTATAATCGGTTTTCCTTTTTTTTTTATTTTTCTAGGGGTTACCATCATCAGGGTTTTGAATGTTTACAATGTTCTCTTGCAACGCATAAAAAATGTCATCCTAATATTCGATTTCAATGTCAAAAGTCATTAGGTTCAGTACGTATTATTTATTTCTTCTTTTTATATAAAAATAAAATCAAATAAATATATTTCTATTAATCTAAAATAAGGAGCCCATAGGATTAGATGAAAATCTTTGATTAAGCATTTCCCTTCTCCTCCCTCCCTCCCTCCCCTCAGAAAAGTCGGTTTTTCGAGAAAAACTCTATTCCAAGATTTATACATATTCTGCTAGTCCTTGTCATGAACTTTAAGTTAACACAATCTCTTGTATCAAATGAAGATGGTTAGGTTCTTTTTTTCTGATGAGTTAACTTCATATAGGTTTTGACAACGTTGAATTGATTGTGTACATTTGAGGTGTGAGTAAAACAGAGACCTCATCCTCATCCACGTATAAGGAACTATCACTATAATTTTGACATGATATGTATTTATCAGAGCAATATGATACATCCGCATATACGCCATCTAATAAAGCCTGACAAATAGTGCGAAAACCTTAAGTAACATAATCAGACTTATTGTCGAATAGATGCATTTACTAAATCACAAATATTACTTTTTGTTTTTTTCAAAATCAGTTTTTTAGCGTATATTGTTTACGCGGACAAACTCTTCTCAATAAAGACTCAATATAAAAATGATAAATTTTTTTCTATTACTCATCAGCTAGTTATGACTAGATGGTAATAGAGCCTGACTTTTGAGTTTCTGTTTTATTGAAATACAAAAATATTTAGATCTTCGATTTTTTTGACACCAAATTTAAGAATTTATCGAAAAAGCTTTTTCAAAAAAACAAACAAAGGAAAATTCAAAAATCGAGTTTTTCTGTGACCCAGTCCTAAGTGTACTCCATAGCTACTAGCAGACAAAACTAGGGTCATTATAATGTAATATCTTTGATTATATCAATTCTGTTTCACATTATTGAAAAAATTTTATCATGATAACTAAAACAACATAAGACGAGACATATTATAAAGAAGTACAACAAAGTATGCAACGAAAACGTAGAGAATAAGTGATATTTATAAAGTCAGGTAAGAAGATTTACATCTGACAATCAATTTTTGCAATAGCATGATTACAAAATTCACTATTCAATTGTTTTGAATCTAAAAAAGTTCTTCTGTCAGTGAATATAAGTTCTACAACATTAAATTGATGTTCGATTCAAGCATTCATTGCTAGAATCAAATAAATTGATTATAACTCTGAAGTATCTTGGATATTTGGAAGATATATTTTACCTCTAATCTATTCTAGCCAAGACATTAGTATTCTCTGAAATTTTTGGTTGAAATTAATTGAAAAATAAAAAAGTTTATTTTTTAGGTGAATTCTTGCTTAAGCATTAATCATCCGCATACATTCAAAGAATATGAAATAGCATTTGTTCGAGCTTTAGTTTCTCGAAATTGTGGTAATTGTAAACATTGTGGTACACAAATATATCGAAATGCTCTCAAATGTACACGTAAGATAAAACAAAGAATAATTTTTTCAGTATTATACTTTAACTAATAATTCATATTTATAACAAAATATATCAATGAGAATGATTATATATTTATCATCTTAAATTAAATTAAAAAAATAATCTTTAATAGAAATACTAATGTGGAACTTCTTTTCACAGTAATCGGACGGATGTGAAATTTCAACGACCATTGGCTACGTTTTCTTGACAAAGGGGAGACGGATAGCGAAGGCTAACGACTATTGAGTATGTGTCCATAGCCACTGAGGATAATAGGCGTTGGACTCCTTTCCCAGAGATCCTTAGTGATGAAAAAAGGCTTCGAACGGCATTAATAACAAGATTTAGACTGTTCTAGAGAATTCAAGAATATTTCAAGTCTTTCCTCGAAATTCGAATAGTCCTAAATATGTAGTTTTTGATTATTGTACAGATAAAAATTTATATTCAAGATGTCAAAGATGATGGGTAACGATTATTTTGATTTATTACAGTCGTCTTATGATTAACATTAAAGCATTAACTGATCAAGTTATAACTTTAGAAAATAATCAGTGTCTGTATTTCTGAGTTTATTGAGATATATAATATTTTCACTGAGACTTACTATAGATATAAGAGATATGTACGACAAGCTTATTTACCAGTTAAATCAATAGTTAGAATAACAAGAATGATAAATAAAGAAAAATAGAATACAAAAATGAAAAAAAAGGCAATAAAAATTAAAGTGCCAGTAAAAAAAACAAGAGGAAAAAATTTCTGTCCGAAACACAAATAAATAAGGCAGATCGCTTCTTTGACGATCGATTATCCTTGGAAAATAACAATAGTCTGCTAAAGATTTTTCGCTTAACGTATTTTGCAGTGTCCGACACAGTTCACTTTTTTTGTGGCCCAACCCGACCCGAGCATATCGTGATCCGACCCGACTCGAGGTGAGGGATAGTTTTTGGCCAATCAAAGTGAGTTTTTTTCAGACATTGACAATCTTCTCAGTAAATTGATACATATTCTATAGGTATTCGAAATAAAGAAATGATTATCTCACCTAAAATTGCTGTTTTTCTTATGTGAAGTTCGGAATTCGTAAACCTTTTGTGACCCAACCCGACCCGAGCACGATATGATTCGACCCGATCTGATCTGAGGTCAAGTATGTTTTTTCGTGATCCGACCCGAGTCGGACACTGGTATTTTGCATTATCACAATGAGGCTAAAAAACACATATGAATATCACATTTTAGCTCCAATGAGGCTGCAACGGCAAACATTTTTATATTGTCAAAAAAAAAAGAAAATTAAAAATAATTATTGTTGTTTTTAGAATGTTCTGCTATAATTCATGAACGTTGCCAGTCCAAGATTTCACCAATATGTTCAATTTCAAATGACTCACCAACAGAAACAATTTTGAAATATTCAAATATAGTTGGTGCACGATTTCATGGTGCAAAAATTAAAAAAGAAAAAAATCGACATTCAGAATCATCATCATTTGATTTATCTTGGCTTGATCCATTACCAGAACTTTCCATAGAAAATTCCCAAGGAATATCTTTACCAAAATTTCATGATTTTAAATATATTGGTCGTCTTGGTAATGGTGCCTGTGCTCAAGTCTATTGTATTCAACATATTTTATCAGAACAATATTTTGCTATTAAAGTAGCTGATGGAACAGATATAGAAGCACGACAACAATTAGAAGTTGAAAAATACATTTTATTTCGTTATAGTCATGGAAATCCTTATATGATTAAAGTTTATTGTGCATTTCATCAAGGAGTATATTTTAATCCATTTTTTATTTAAAAAGAAAAAACAAAATGATTTTTGTTTTTGTTTTTCAGAATAAATTATTTCTTGTTATGGAACTTGTTCAAGGTGGAACTTTATGTCATAAAATTCAAACAACACGAATGAATGAAGATGAAATAAGATATTATTTAGCGCAAATTATTTGTGTTATACAATATTTACATTCAAATAATATTGTTTATCGGTAGTTTTCAAACAAAATGAAACTTTTTTTGTTTTTGTTTTAAATATTCTTTTGAAAACTATTTAGAGATTTAAAACTTGAACATGCAATTGTTTGTTCAACAGGTTCTATACGTCTTATTGATTATGGACTTGCACGAATATTAAAAGCTTCTGATGAAACTTGTCATACTTTCTGTGGTACTTATAGTTACATGGCTCCTGAAGTAAAACTTCTTTTCCTATTGATAAAAACAAAAAAAAAAGAACGTTATCAAATGATGTTTTATAGGTTCGATGTTTAGAGAAAAGTTCATCAGATAAAGGTTATAGTTTTGCAGTGGATTTTTGGGCACTTGGAATTATGTTTGTACAAATGTTATGTGGTGAAAAAATCGATTTTGATGATATATTTGCAAATAATAATGAAAATACAACTGAACCAATAAAAATAACACAATATTTAGAATTACCTCGTTATATAAGTCTTGAAGCTCATTCATGTGTTATTGGCTTACTTGAAAATGATCCTGAAAAACGTTTAGGTTCACCTAATTCACCGCATGGTTCAATACGTGATCATCCATTTTTTAAAGCTGGTCATCGAATTAATTGGTCAGAAATTGATGAAGGTGTGTTTAAACCTTGTCATAAAAATTCAGAGGTAAACAAAGAAAACTAAAAACAATTTTTTATTATAAAATATTCTTATTTTTCATTTAGAATATACGTGTTATGTCTGATACATCGTGTCATCAATCACTTCCAACTTTACAATTAGATAGAGGAGGTCATGCTAAAGATGATTGGATAGCTGCTGGAAAATCAACGTGTACATCAGATGAAAATGAACGATTGAAATCATTTAATTATATTAACTCATCATCTTGCCTTGAATTTACTCAATCGGATTTTTTATGAAAACTTATTTTAAAAAATAACAATCATTCCTTTGTTTTTTTTTCCATACTAATAATCTTTATTTTCTTCGTATCTTTTCCAACGTCTTAATATCAGATGTTTCTCAAAGTATAGTACAATATTGATGCTATGTTGCAATATATCAGTGTAGGACGTTCTAGTATGTATTGAACTAGCTATCAGTGTCCGACACGGGTCGGGTCGGGTTACGAAGAAAATTTTTGAGCTCGGGTCGGGTCGGGTCACAAAAGTTTTACGAACTCCGAACTTCGCATAAGAAAAGCAGCAATTTTAGATGAGATAATCATTTCTTTATTTCGAATACCTATAGAATATGTATCAATTTACTGAGAAGATTGTCAATGTCTGAAAAAAACTCACTTTTATTGGCCAAAAACTATCCCTCACCTCGGGTCGGGTTACGAAAAAAATTTTTGAGCTCGGGTTGGGTCGGGTCGGGTCGGGTCAGATCATGCTCGGGTCGGTTCGGGTCACAAAAAAAGTGACCCGTGTCGGACACTGCTAGCTATAGTATTTCTTCAATACCATATAATCCAGTTTTAAGTTCAAGTTTACGAAGCTTAAGTCGATTTAATATTGACAAGAGAAATGTTAAAGTTGTGTTAGTTGGACAATGCGCTTCTCGCTAACTGATCATCAAAGATATGATTTTTGATGTCATATTCGCATGTAGAATTTTATTTAGAACATCTTCATCAATTCCAAGAAGAGTTAATAAGAATAATCAAATAAATTGGTCAATGTTAAACAATGAGATAAAAACAATCTAATTTTACCTTGTATCTTATTTTCATCAGAAAATGTCAATGAAAGGATATTTTTTCGGATTGAATAAATCGACAAATATGATGGAATTCAGTTACTTCAAATTTAACTTCATCAACACTTCTCATGATAGTGATATAGTCGCAATAGTCAGACTTATAATGATTTCTATTAAAACAAATGACTTTCTAAATCTTTCGAGTCATGATGATATAGCTACGATGATCTTAAAATAAATGAAAAGTAATTATCTGATCTAATTGTTGTTCAATAAAAATGAATTAATTGTGATTATTTGAATAATTTATAGGAGATATAAGATTCTAAATTATAATGAACATAATACAATAAAACAAAAAACGAAATGAGATGAAATTTATTGTTCTTTGTTCAATAAAATTGAATCATTTGACATTTAGTTGAAAAACAGCATAAAATAACTCTTGAGGATTCTTCAATGTACTTTGATCATACTCAAGTGTAGCTTTGAGATGAAAACCAACATTCTCTATTTCCTGTTGCCATTCAGTACGTGTTCGATATTGAATTGATTTCGTATATTTAATAATGTTTAATTTTTTTTGTTTCCAGTCAATTGTATGACTTACAGAATCATCATCAGATTGAACTTCATTTTGATTCAAATGATTTCTTTGATCATCAGCAAATTCACCAACATGTGCAATCATCATAAAGGCATGAACAAAATTAAGATATTTGGCTGTAAGTGAACGTTTGTTTTCGCAATTATGTTCACGTATAATAAGATAACCACTTGGTCGTAAAATACGAACAAACTCAGAAAGTATTAATTTCAACTGAGGAACATGATGAAGAGTAACAAAACATGTTATGAGATCAACACGATTATCAGCTAGATAAATAATGAAATATATGAGTATAGAAAAATTCAACAATATCATCAAATTGTTTCAAACATGTGCATAGTGTCCTTTCTGATTATTTTTCTTTTTGATTGTTCCTAAAAAATATAGATTGTGAAATATTCGAAATAGTTATTTTGTATACATCATTTTTTTTCTTCTTTCTCTCAATTATCTAAAGAAAATTCCTTGCTTTATGATTGATTTTAGCAAATATAGAAGATGATGAGATGTGCTTTAAATAAATGAAAGAGAAAAATTACCAAGATCGATGGTCGATTGATTTAAGTTAACATCTACGAATGTTACTTTATCATTGTGACTATCATAATCAGTTCCACCAAAAATATTTTCTTTACTTAAATTTAAATATTCGCCAATCTCAACTGTAGTCGAATCATCACGACAAATCATATCAAAATAGGCATTAATAGATGCACGACTAATAATCTCTTTTAAATCAGATGGTGATAATATCTTCAAACTACCAAATGATGATGGACAAGTACGATCGAATTCAAACATAGCCTTGATTTCAGCTAAACGATGATCAGATCGAGTTTGAAATTGCCATTCTCGCAGTGAGTCTTTAGCACCTAAGAAATAGAATCAATATTAAAAGATTTTTATCTCTTGATAGATAAACCAGGTTGTTTCTCGAGTTTTTTGATTATTTCATATAATTGGTCAAGTTCATCTGACCTATTAAATTCCACTCTTAATGGAGCCAATATGTGATATATGTTATGTCTTTGTCCATAGATTCTACCAATATATGAAAGCAGCTGACATCGATGTCTTTCACTTGTCCATAAAGAAAAATTATCTTCTCGCGAATCCATCCAACTAGTAAACAGAAAGTTTCCAGATTGAATCGAGCGTTCTGTAAAACAATAATTTACATAAAATAATATTTATTAGCATATTTAGTTACTTTTTTGAAATTGAAACAAATACTAATGAGAATTATTATTCAGTATCAATACAATGAAAATGATTATATAGTAGCTCATGAATTTGTACTAATCAACATAATTTTATTATTAAATGCTTAGTGATGCATTCATATATATAAGTTATTGTCATCCTACATTTCTCTTGAAAAACAGAAATAGATCTGCAGTAATTCATTACGTGTAATTAGGAAGGTCATTTTACTGTTTGATTTAAATTTAGTTCTCTTCCTTTTTTGAAGCTCTTAATCTTTTATATTTAATTTAAAAATATTAATGAATTGAAATAATTCAATTCGTAATTTTAATGCTAATTTTATTCTTTTGCATAGGTCAGTCGAAAAGTTCTCGGACTTTCAAATATTTATTCATAGAAAAGACATTTTATTTATCTTTTTATAGTAAATGTTCGAAGTAGTCCTCATAATGTTCGGTGCAAAGTTTCATCCCTTCAATCAACTTCTGAGATGTCTTTTCGTATTAATGAACAGTTTTCGAATGAAGCTCCTTGGATAAAACTTGTAGTATTTGAATATGTGCTAAAGCTAGGTTTCAAATAACTAGACAACCAAAGATCTGACGGACTAAGACCAGGCAGATATGATGGATGAACTCTAACTTTGGATTTTTCTTCTTGAACTTATTTAAGATTAAGATTAATATTTTTTTATACGGGATTTTGCATTGTGAAGATACAAATTTAATGCCATGTTTTTTTATGATAATCTTTTTTTGTGTAAATTTTTGACTAATCTGTTTCAACATTTATCACGCTAATACATGTAATAGACTAGGTCTGAGAGGTAGCAACATAATCAACACTAAGATGTGGATCATCATTCTCCAGGTCCTGGACAACATCAATATATTGTTAAGTATTGATGGATAACGGATACTATTTCGAGGATCATCTTTCAACGGTTCTCGTCTACTTAAAAATCAATAAACCCAATGAGTAAGTGTACTATATGAAACAGCACCTGATCTATAGCCAACAGTTAATTCATCATGAGCTTGTGTAGTAGTTAAACCTAATAACCAACGAGTTTTTATATATGAACGTATACGAAGTTTATCCATCTGAAAACAGGGGTGTTGAAAAAATTCATTAAAGAATTACTATAATATACACTTGTGAAACTTCGTATTGATATTTTAATAGATAACAGATGGCACTACTAGAATAGACCAACATGAGGGATAAAACCGATTAGCATGAAATTTTAGAAGACTATTACGAGAACTTTTTGACTACCCTATGTAAATTTTAATGATGGTTAATTTTCCAAGAACAAAAATATATGAAAAGACAAGTAACAATAAGCCATAGTTAACTGTTTTTTTTTCACTAACATCTTTCATATATCCAAAAAAATTGCTATTGGAAAAGATCTAGTATCCCTATAGTGGACATCTTTAAAAAGTTCGAAGGGTTGTTACTATAGAGAGATCATACTGTAGTTCCATTCCGTGAGTTTTAATTAAATTTTCTTACTTTTGAGGTGTTTATTTAAATCAAAATGATTATAATTTTACTTTTCTCAGAAGAATCATTTGAACATCCTGTAAACTGAATAGTTTTACGATTATATGTAGAATTCTCTAATGAAGAACATTCTCTGTTATTATTTAATTCACTTGCTAAAATAACATTTTCTCTATTAATTATTACTAATTAATAAAGTAACTTACTTTTTTCTTTGTTTTCTGTGGACTTTATTATATCTTGGTCTTTTATGATACTATGAAATTCTTCACTTGAAGTAGTCGGTTGTACTACGTCTAAAATATAATAAAATGTTTATACTTATTTATACTATGATAGAAATTTGAATATTGTGAATTTGTCTCACTACTCTTGCTAGTTACTGATTTTGATGTTGTACTTGCATCATCTTCGAATTAAAGGAGAAAGTCAATGAACATTTATTTGAACTTTTTCATTGATAAATTTGATATTTAGAACAAATATACTTACTAATGATTATTTTAGATTTATTCTTGTTTTCATGGATACTTTCTTCGTGTACTATATTAGAATTTGGAGTAGTTTGGGTTTTATTTATTTCATCATTGTTGTTCAAATCCAATAATTGTCGCTTCTCTTGATGGATTTCTTTAGAATCTGAGAAACGAATACTTTTATTGACTTGACTGAGTCGAAATAAATAGTTACCTAATTGTACAATTTTATTAGTTTCTTCCTTTTCAAAATTGGTGCCGGTCTTGTAAGTAATTTTATCTCCAGATTTAATGTTTGCTATCACATTCTTAATAGATAATAAAATCAAGTGTTGATCTTCTTTAGATCGAATGATTACCTGAGATTGATTTTCCATATTTCCTTTGATATTGGTCGTTATTATGGACTCCATTGTACTTTCTTTTGAATTACGATGCTGTAAATCTGACAAAAAATGAATGAAAATATTGATAAAAAATATGATTCTGATTTATTTGAATGCGTTCTATTCAAAAGATTAAATCTTTTTTTTTTTAATTATCATATTAATTAATCATTAAACAAAGTTTAAATTTGATAATTGATAATACCTTTTTACTTTGATTTTGAAGAATTATTAGAAATATTAAGTGTCTAATCTCTTCCAAATTTAGATAAAATCATTCTTAACATAGAATTATGTAAACCTATACAGAAAAAAACTTATCAACGTAGCGTCTTTGAGACTAAAATATGTAGAGCTCACATGTGTTCTTTAGTCCCCATTATACTAATACAAAATATGTTAAGTGAAAAATTTCTATCGGACTATAGTTGTTTTTCAAGGACGATCGATCGCCAGGGAAAGTAATTTGTCTTATTTATTTCTGCATTTCCAATAGAAATTTTTTCCTTCTTTGTATTGGTGCTCAATTTTTTGTTTGCCTCGTTTTCGTATTCCATTTTTCTTAATTTAACATTAGTATTATTTCAACCAGTGATTTAATTGGTTAATAAGCCTGTTGTATATATCCTTGACATTTCAAATATAATTTTTTACCTACACAAAAATAAAAAATTGTAACATGTATGCCATTGACAAACGTATTCGAGTCATTCAAATTCCAAGGAAGGCTTTGGAATATTCTAGAACAGTCTAAGTATTATTGTTAATGCTGGTTGAAGCCTTTTTCTATTGCTAGAAAATTCTGGGAAAGGAGTCTGACGTTTGTTGTCCTCGATTGCTATGAAAACTTACCCAATGATCTTTGGCTTCTTTCTCCAGTTGCAAGGGCCGAGGAAGGGAAAACCATGGAAACCTTGCTTAAATCTTACACTCGCTATTTGATTCAAAAATAATTTTATTGAATGTTGATTGTATGTTCATCAATCTATTTCAAGTTACATTTTATATTTATTTTTCTTTTAAGAATATAAGATGATCAACATTAAATATATTTTTAAACGCGTATTTTTTTACTTACTCATTACTTGATCCTCTAAATGTTTGATTTGAATTTTATGTTGTTGGAGTTCTTCTTCCAGTATTTCAATCTTATCTTGTAGTTGTTTGATTTGAACATTTTCTTTATTTATCTGATTATTTATAAGTTCCTCAAGAATCGTAAGTCGATGATTGACTACTGGATTTTTCATGTTTTGTGTTACATCATTATTGATTGGTGATTTATTGGGATTTGACACCTCACTTGCATATTTCAGCTTTCTGCTGCTAGCCATTTAGCTTGTCTAGAATAAATCTTCTATTATTACCAAAAATCAAATTTGTCTGAAAAAAAAATCCACTATATCATAAAAAAGATATAAATTATTTCCTTAGTTAAATTGATTTAAAAATTATCGTAGATTTTCTATATGCAAATGAAACAAAAATTGATATGAGCATTTCATTCATGACTTGTAGTCAAAAAGAAAAAAAATAACATCATGTCTTTTCCTACATTAAACTGATTGACTTGAACTAAATAATTTTAATGAAAACTAATTTTAAAAAGTTGCTTATCTAAGTTCATTTGTTAAAAAAATACTCGTTTGGATAATGATTTATAAGAGTGAACTACAGTTTTCAAGGATTTATAACACAAGAAAATGTTTATACAGTTTACTAAGAACTGTATCTGATAGAGAAGAAAAATATATTAAACAATATTGTATTATAAAAAATTAAAATTAACCTGAAAAATAAGGATTCTAAAAATCATGAAAATAAAAGTTCTTTTCTTTGTTTTTTTTTCATTTATCAAACATGGATTATTTTTTATCCAATTGATAAACAGCATAAAATAGTTTCTGAGGATTACTAGAACCATCACCACCATAATACAATGTAGCACAAAGATGAAAACCAAAATTTTTAAGTTGCTGTTGCCATTCATCACATGTTCGATAATGAATTGATTTTATATATTCAATAATACGTGACTTTTGTTGTGTCCAATTATCTGTAGTATTTTCATAGTCATCTAATACATGTTGATTTTTACTGTTATAATTATTTGGAGAATCAGCAAATTCTCCAACTCGTGCAATCATCATAATAGCATGAACAAAATTAAGATATTTAGCTGATAATGAATATTCATTTTTGCAATCATGTTCACGTAAAATAAGATAACCTCCAGTTCGAAGAATACGAACAAGTTCAGTAAGTGTCTTTTCAAGTTGAGCTATATGATGAAATGTAACAAAAGAAGTAATGAGATCAACATGATTAGAAGCTAAAACAAAAGAAATAATAGAATTAAATAATCGACAAAAATAGAATATAGACTAACGAAGATTGATAATCGATTGATTTTCATTGAGTTTAACAAATGTAATTACATTGTTTTGTCCTTCGAATACATCGCCTCCGAAAATATTTTCTTTAGTCAAACCTAAATAAGTTCCGATGCCAGCTGTAATAGTTCCATCTCCACATCCTAAATCGAAGTAGGATTTTATCTTTTGTCGGTCTATAATCTGTTGTAAACCGGTTGGTGTCACATTGAATGGATGATTCGATGATTGATAATTACCATTGAATTCAAAGATTACTTTTAGATCTTTGAGACGACGATTGATTCGAGAATTATCTTCCCATTTATTAAGTGACATTTGAGCGTCTAGAAAATAAATTTATGACACTTGATAAGTTATTTTTCTTTCTTTTTTTAAAATTTAATATGCACCCTGTCTTTGTTTTGTTTTCTGAATTAACTCATTGAGTACATCGAGTTCATCTAAATTTTCCATGGAACTCTTTAATTGAGCAAAGATTCGATATATGTGAACTCTCTGTCCGTAGATTCTACCGATATATGTTAATAAAGCATTTTGATAGGTTGCACTTGACCATAATGATTGTTCAATTGACCATGAGCACATCCAATTAGCAAACTCATCTAGCTTCTTACTACTAGTTGATATTTCTGACCGTGAGACTTGTTGCTGATTCCTGGACTTATTATGAGACAAAGAAGACTACAATGAAAAATATTACGATTTGATTTTTGCTTGAATAGAATTTGAAAAATTCTCTCTTCTATTCTCAATGACAAGTACATACGCATGCCAAGTTAAAAAGACGTTTGGCGCCTAGCATATTTGGATTGATAGTAACTGTAAGCTTCGTTCGATTTTCGTTGTTCCGACTGTCCAATTGATTACGTTGAGTCATTGTGTTTTTTTGTTTCTTGTCTGTAATCTCTTTCAAAAAAAGGATAAATTGATTGAAATATCAATTCAAAAAGATTTATTTGAGTTCAATTTAATATTCTGTTCGAATGTAGGTAATCGCGAGTAATACAATACACAAAGTAGAATGACTTCCTAGTTTCTTAAAATTAATTTAGTCTAAAATTCGATTGATTACTTCATTTTCGCCTGACCAAAATGTGAGAGTCTCTATGGATGTAAGACCCACCATTCCACTCAGATACCTATATTTGCCCTAGAATAATCTATCATGATGAAATTTTCAGGAGGTATGTGTTTAATCCTCGATAGTTCTGAATAAGAAGAATTGAACACGAAACATTAACTTATTCAAAAAAATTGTCCTAATACCAAGAGTGAAAGCATGATAATGCATGTGTCTCCGATTTCTTTTTTAATCCTAATGAGATAGAATTTGGTTGACTATCAAAATGTAACTAAAGTTTACCGCTACAGCTGAACAGAGTAAACTATGTTTTTAATTTCGTTTTCTTTTTTTTTTCAAAACGTTTTTCAAAAAATCCAACAATTGAGGATAGCTTGTACTAAAAGAAACTATATTTTTCTCAAAAACTAAACTAAAAATGAAGAACTCTGACTCCGCTTAGTTGTAGCATTGAGTTTTTCTTCATTTTAAAATCTTTTCAAACTTTCCACCTTACAGAATGGATAAGAAATTTCGGGTATACGAACAAAAATAAAGAAAAATACTAAATAAGTTTGAAAATCACGATTTTCTTCTACAGGAAGTGATATGAAAAATATCGACAGTAGTTGGTCATAAGTTATCCAGTAGGACTATTGGAATGAACACTTACATAGATTTCTGCAGTATTTTTCTCAAAAGGAAAGCTGTTTGTGCACCAAAAAGCATTAATTTTTCGAAAAAGTTTCAAAGTTTACTTTCGTTTTTAATACGCTTTCGTATTATGTTGAAATTATAATATTAAATATTGGTAAAAGTCCTTCTATGTGAATGCATATGATTCAGTACATGCAGGTCAGATTCTCCATTACTAGTTCCAGAGGTATCAATAGCTGAGGTTTTCAAAAATTATTGCAAAGTCGATAAATCATAGTATGTGCAAAAATAGACAATATGAACTATCTACCTATGTTAAAATCTCAAAGTTGAAATTTTTGACGAAAATTACTTTTATGACTGGTTAATGTTTTAAACTCAACAAATATCAGAAGAAATATTCTCTCGATATTATTCTGTCGAAATTTTATGAATGTTAAAGATCTACAATATAGATTTAAATCTACATTTCAAACAACTTTTAAATTGCTGTATTTTCTTTTACAAATTGAAAAAGTTCAAACAAGAATTGATTCTATTACAAGACAAAAATAATTTATATAAGTTTCATTTTCTATCTCTAGTAAGGTTATTTCAACAATCATATGTAAAAAAGTAACTAAGATTTCAAACTAATATGAAATCAAAATGAGTACATTCTAGTTAAACGATACTAAACTGCTATCGATATAGAAAATGTTAATTACTATTTGATAAATACTCACTTTTTTTATTTGACTGAATGTCAGATTGAATCGTTGCATTAGAAGTTGGAGCCTTATCTAAAAATTAATTTGTATAATAAATTCTTCAAACATTGTATTCTTATATAAAAGCAATATAAAAAGTCAAGACAAATCAATATCATCTAAATCCTAGTCTTTGTTATGTCTCTGATTGGAGAAATTTCATTCAAGTTTCAACATAAGATCTCTAAACGAACTTCTCGATAACCAACATTTATACATATCAATATTGATGAAATTATTTTTGATCTAGAGCATCTAATGAGGAAATGGAATCATTGAAATTAGCTTTCAGACATTACATAATTCTCATATCATTCTATTCAACACACAAACTCGAACTTCTCGGAAAATGATACTTTAAATTCAAAGAATTGATCATTATTTTCAAAATAGATATTTTTCTTGTCTGTCAACTTCAATGAAAATATCAGCTGTCAGACTTAAATAAAATGGTTCTCTTCAAATCAAGCAAGAATGAAATCTTCAGAATGATAGATACAACCCATAAAAAAGATTATCAAAAGTTATACTGTTTATAAAAATTTGTAAATAGCTATAATAAATATTAGAGAATCTGAAAAACTCACATGTTGATCCTTTAGTTTTCGACGTTGTTGAATAATCTTCTATCTCCTAAAAATGCAAATAACTTTTCAGAAAAAAAGAAACAATAACAATGGATAATACATAATCATCGTATGCACTAGTTGTTGGAGTTGATGTTTCTACGGATTGCTAATAATAAAAGAAAAACATATTAAAAGAATTATAGCATGAACGCATACAATTATAACAATAAATCACAAACCGTTCCAGTGGAAGCATCATCTTCGTAATCATTCATAACATAGTTTTCATTTGGTTTTATAAAACATGGAGACTGTTGGATCTTACTACAAAAAAAAATTAAGAATCAAAATTTTTAATGAATGAAAACGTGCATGCTTAAGGAAGGGTATCTCTTCCTTCTTTGACCGTTTCTGATGCTCGAAGGCAGTACAACTGATTAGGCTGAAATTTTTACTACAGACAGAGCACCAAAAATACGGAGACATACGTTCGAGGAAAAAAAGATTTTGAAATAAATTTTTGCTGGAAAACCCTGATTTTCCATAGGATCACATCCTAGTTGCTTACCAGTCCCATCAAACTTTATCCGGTTTGGCTGAGAAGTTTTTTGGAGATACCTAAAACTATATGTGAAAGGTAATTTTAATCTTTTCTAAAAATTTCACTTTCTTTTTGTTTTTTAAAAGAGAACTACGTAAATATTTGAAGCCAAAACCGAAATCTCATGAGGTAGGAAAGTCGAAAATGAAAACGGTCGATTTAACCTCTGGAGAATAATTTCCAGTAGCAATGATAAAAATTTTAGCTCGATTGAACAAGGTTAAATGAGGGTCGTAAGCAACCAGGATATGGCCCTATGGAAAATCAGGGTTTCCAAGCAAAAAACCATACAAATCCACTTCAAATTTATCCTCTTCAAACACATATTTCATTATTTTTGGTGTTCTATCTGTAGTGAAAATTCTAGATTGATTGGTTGTACCGTCGTCGGGAGCCATGAAATGGTCCGAAAAGAAGGAGGGTATCCTTAGTATTCATCATTAGAGAATATATCAAGATTAAATATGCATATATACTATTTTTACTTTGAACCAATCAAGAGGTTCATTCTATTCTTTATTTCAAGAGCAAACAATGTTCTTAGATTGAACAGAATTTCTATAACTCATAATTTATATCTCTTTACTTAAATGATTTGCAGAAATTGACTGATTTAGTATAGTTTACGATTAAAATTTTGTCATCAAACACATAAACAATCGGATCATCTATAATTTTCTAGATTTATCAATGCTTTTCTTTCCGTGATAGTTTGATACTCGCACATGCCTTGCTTTGCTTAATACTGAGAAAAACCAAATTGAAGAGAAGATTTTCTATCTTCTTAATGTTCTTACATTAAATTGTAGAAATTATTTCATCTCATGCAATATTGTTTTGTAATTTTTGCAAATATGTTACAAATACTTTTTGAATTTAAATAGCAAATAGACATGTCATACTCATGGAAAAAGGATTTCGAAAGAGAATAGATAATAATCAAAGATGTTTATATTGGAATATTCTATGTCAGTAATCTGAGAGGATCTCTTAACTCATTGTAACTAAATTGATGATTTTTTTTTCATCAGTTTTCTTCTATCTTTTTACATAGCTTTTAATCATATATTTAAAATTGGATTGGATATCAATTGAAGTATGGAACTGCTTGCTATTAATTGAAGAAAGAAAATTATTGATAAACTTTGACTATATCTATAAATGAAGAATAAGAAAATTGCTACCTACCGTTGATCTTCATGATTTTTAGTAACAATGGTCGGTGGTATTGTCGATTTGACTCCCAAAGAGGAAGAAAACTGAAATGGATATTTCACTATTAACAAATAATGATGTATATAAATATATTATATATACTGCTAGTCCGTTTTGGACAACAATATCATTCAAGCAGCGATAATCACCATCGAAGATTTTAACATTCAACATGTCATTTACTTGGCCATGTGATTCAACAGAAAAAGGACCTGTTTGACAGAAATTATTCAATTGTTTGTATGTTTCAGGAGGCATTTGATAATTGACGAGTTTGAATTCAATATCCATTAGACGACAAGGAATAGCCAAGCAAGGTAATCTAGCAAAATATTTAAGTAAAAATTTGAATTGACCTTCGACCATTTGAACCTCTTCTGTTATTCCAAGATCTACATATATAATAATACATTTTGATAGATGATTCTCCCTAATAAGAACACGATGATAGATTCCTTCATATTTGCACACACATGCTAAATCAATTGTAATCTTTTTTACTAGTAAATTGTCTGTTATTGAATTAGAATAATAAAAACTAAGAAAATAAAAAATATTCAAATTTAAATTAAATAATTTATATATTTTTCTAAAATCTCCTACTCAAGGTCTTCAGTCAATTCCTGCATGTTTTGCATATGACATTCGGGTTGCATATAAATAGTATAATTGTTCCTATCGATATTCGATACATAAGCAAGAAATGTTTCATGATTTGTAAATGCATATGGATTTGGACGATAATGAAAATCTCCTGGAACAATACCAGACGCAGTGATTTTTTCTAGTGTTAGTTGTTGTCCCTGGAAAAATGAATTACAATATTTTGTAATATATGAAAAACGTACACTGTTCATACTTGATCAATATCATCCTCAACTTTCAGTCCTATGATGTCATCAATTGTACTATTCTCTTGATCTTGCCGTATACTCCAGACGAAATTGTTAAAGAGATTAGGCAAAGCTAATTTGATCAACATATGTAATAAACTTTTGCCAAATTTCGTCTGAATAAAGAACAATAATGATATTAGATGAAGTTATGACTAGTGAAAACGCACTTTATATTGGCTTTCTAGAGCAACTGATGGAATGCCTTGGGAATGTTCACTTAGTAGCTATGAAAAAGGAATATATAGAAAGTCGAACAATTTAATAACAATAATATACATACCGTCTTTAAACTGTTCCCTATATCAGTTTCGTTATAGCTTTCATTGTTCGTGAACGAATCCTCAACTTGATACATAATTGATAAGGCTGAAATCTAAATAAATTAAAATACTCAATAGTTATGATCGATTTTCATTGACAAATATTTAAATTTCAATGAATCTTGTCATATTTATGTTTATAAGAGATATATCACATATTCAGTAAATCGAGAATGTCAAAAAAATGTTCGGAATGATCAGATATACGCACAAGCACCCTATAGATGACAATTAAATTATTGTAAACAAATGAAATTTTACGTAAAATTTCTTCTGGCGACAAACGCATCTGTCACAATTGTCTTCCGTCATTTTCAAACGAAAACATTTTTCGATTTTTAGCTAAAGAACTGTGATAGTCTGTGCGTGCGTGTTTCGTTCTTTATTTTTGGTCAGTCGACCGGACTTACGCATGTGAGCAAAAGATTGGATGTTACTCAACGGTCTCAAGCTAAAATTCGAAAAACATATTATCAACAGTGACCAAAAGTGGAGAACATTGATATGTCTGCTGAAGAAAAGCTACGAGAAATATCATGCATATTTAGTAAATTAATAGTCAGTCATAGGATACTATTGAATATGTCTCATCTCATGAAGTATCTTTCACAACTTCGATTTACTGAATATATAGCAATGCTGCATAAAAATAAAGATACTCAATCATAGTACTCTCATCTTGATACATGTTGCTGTCTTCTAATAAAGACATTATAAGAATTTAGTAAACACTTTTGCACTCATACTTAATTTTTAGATAGGCGACGGTGAGACTAGAAAAATTCTAAAAGGATTCTAAATAGCTTTAGTTGATTGTAATAAAAACATCTCATATTTACGATGATGAGTATGTATACATGTGTTGTTGCGTCTATATTACAAGAGTAGATTCTTACCAAAAATAAATTAATTTTTTAAATATCCCTCGATAGTAATGTTTCACGTATTCCAATCAATCACAATGGAATGAGAGGCGTGAAAATATTCTAAAATTTACGTTATTGCGTTCATCAGATGACACAAGTTCGAAGGAATAACGTAATTTAATTGCAAGGTGTACATTATACAAAATACGAGTGGATTTTATTTTGCATTGAATTAAATATGGTTTCATAGAACTTGAAGAGCTGATCAAAAATATATAATTTTTATTTCGATCAGATTATCTCTTCGTCCTAAAAAGCTTCAAATATTGATAAGGTCATAGATATAAGCATAATCATTTTTTCTCTCAAAACAATTCTTAGGTTTCTATAATCTTTTTCCTTATACAGCATTAAAAATTCAATAGAAAAATATTATTCAGACTTAAAATAAATAACATAAAAAACTGTTATCGATACATGTAGACTTCTAGCATGTGTTTATAGATACTTTTGGAAATCTGTCTAGTTTCTTGTGATAGAAGATAAGACTGAATGTCTTATCTCATTTGAATCAATAGGTATCGAGCTATAAAAGTACCTATTTTGTTTTACTGTTGAGCATATCGAACACTCCCTCGTTTCAGTGGTAAATGGACCAAAAATGACCTTGTTCATTACACTTTCGATTATCAAAACTCATTTGAAAAACAAAACAAACAGTATATTCAGGATCAGCGCGAAAACCTACATCGAGTCACATATATCTTAACAAAATCACTTTTCCACGAAAAACGAACTTGTTCTTCCTTCAGTATTTTTCCTTTAAAATTATACCTGTGGTTCTCTAGAGTCGATTTTCTAACTAACATGGAATTTGCTAAAATATGCATGGCCCACTTTAGATTATCACAGTGATTTTGAATATACTGTTTATTTCGTTTTTCAACGGAGTTTTGATAATAGAAACTGCAATAAATACGGATACTTTTGGCCGTTTTACTGCTATAACAAAAGAATATTAGACTTTCTCGACAATAAAACAAAATCAGCATTTTGTAGCTCGAAATCGACTGATTCAAATGAGATAAGATATTTGATCCTATCTTCTGGCATAAAAAGCTAGATAGGTTTATAAAGGTATCTATAAACATATGTTATAACACTGTAAACAGCGATGTAGAATAATAAATCTTACGAAAAGGGTTTATATTTAGTTTGATGAGGAGTTTATGAAGCTAATAAACCCTGTTTATAAGGTTTATTATTCCATGCTGTTCTTTTTACAGTGAAGTCTACTTATATTGATAATAGGTTTTTACATTATTTCTTTTAATTATCGATAATATTTTTCTATTGAATTTTTAATGCTGATTTAGAAAAAGGATTGTAGAAATTTAAGAGTTGTTTTGAAGGTAAAAGTGATTTTGTTTAAATCTCTGGTCTTAAAAGTATTTGACGATTTTTGCAACGAAAGGGTAACTTAATTGAGATAATATGTATATATTCGTACACAGCTCTTCAATTTCTATCAAACCATATATAAATCAATGAAAAATAAAAATTCACTCGAATTTTGCGTTATGTGTATTTTACGAATAAATTACTTTCATACTTTGAAACATTCGATATATTATTCCACTATACATTTTTCCACATATACCTTTCACCTTCATATGTATCCTTTGCATTCTATTGTATTTTTTTTGTCTGAGGTTTTTTATTACTAGCAACGTTGCACAATTTTTACTCAATCTGCATTTAAAGTGTTAAATGCTGACAAATATAATACTAATGATTAGTATTTGAAAAAAATATTCTTTCTTTCAAAAAGGTCTAGTTTTCCAATTCAAACCCAAAAAAAAACTATGTATTCGTACCTATCGTCCTATATGCGAAGTGTTATTACTTCAATCCGCTGTAACTATTATGGCAAAACCTTTTCGAGTCTTTCTAGTTTCATCAAGTTCTTTTGACGAGCAACATATGAGCTCGAAAGCTTTTAATCTGCTACTTAATTTTCCTAGTTAGTAAATATACTATCTAAAAAAAAACAGAAACTTACAAATAAGGAACCATTATTAGAAAAAGAAGAAATAATTTGAACATCATAATCTAAATTGAAACTGTTTCAAAGGTAAAACAAAGGAAGGACAAAAACATAGAGATATCCACGAAAACAAAAAAAAATATTATGCGACTTGCTCTTTTATCAGAACTTATCTATTGAAATACTTTGTTTACCATTGCTGCTGTTTACATATACACATATGAAAAAAAAGGAAGAACAATAACTAAAACAGATTAATATTTCTTTTTTTGTCCGATCGTTAGGTAGTTGTCGATGTGCTTTTTTTTTATTGCTCTCTCTCTCTCTCTGTTGTTGTGCAATGCCATACTTACACACGGAACCTAATAGAAATCATGTGACAAACAAATCAATGGTGGCATAATTTGCATTGTTTTCTTTTGCAAAAACAACCTGTGCATTTTGATGAAAGTTTTTTTTTTTATCCTTCATTACTTTAAAAAAAATCGAGTTTGTGTTTCAAGTGTACTGTTTGTGGGAGACATTCAGAACTGTACACACAATCAATGCAAGAAGAAAAAAACCAATAGATGGTCTTTTTTTATCACAACAATTTACATAAAAAACATCACATTAGTTTCAATATTTCTGTATTATTTTCATCCCTTGACTTAGACTTTTTTCATAAACACTAAAATCATTAAATTAGTTTCATTATATTGTATTGTTTACATTTCATGGCTTTAATTTTTCTTTGTAAAAATACATAATGAAAGTGATTAGTTTTATTCTTATCGACTCTGATGTCTTAATCCATACGGGTTTTTCTCAAAATTAACGATACGTAACTTCACGAAAGATACTCGCCTTAGATTTTGAAAATAGTCTGAATAAAACTATTCCATTTGACTCAGCAAATGAATCAACTGGGAGAAAATGAAAATCCATTGCCTTTCAACTTTTTTAAGGCATGACTTTCATGCACAATGAATCATTTTCAAGGGAAAAAAAAATCATCAATGATTTTAAAACGAATTACGAAATAATGTCTGTATCATTGCCAGAAGTGGCATTTGTTGCATTACGATAGTCATTTCTCTATGGGAAAAATACCATTAAACTGATGAAAAGTCCATCATGTTTTACTTTTTTGTTTTATTCTATAAGGGACTCAAGTTATTATTGAATACAAGAATTCCACGTCAGATTGGCTCTCTCTCTCCAGAGCTACAGCTAATATTAGTTTTAGGGAAGATATCGAGTTATTGAATCTGCTACTAGGTAGCACCCGATACCGTTAGGTAGCCGAAGGGCAAAGGTATTTTTCTTCTTCTCACATTCAATAGCAACATCTGAGATTCTCTGTTTTTTTTTGAAAGTGTCTTCTAGGTCTTTGAATGATAAAGTCATGAAAATAGTTATCTAACAACAGATGACTGTGTAGATCAAGATCGGCGCACAAAAAGCAACTAAAAGTCTATGAAACAGACAAGAGATTGTCATTATCTGTCTCTTAAACGTTATCAAATATGACTGTTATTCTACCTTTACGTTGATACATGATGTCTGAACAAAAACAAAGAATGAATACTAACGTTCGTTTTCTTTGAGTTTTTCAGTATAATGACTCTATTCAATCACATATCGATTTTTCTAATTAAACAAAAATGAAAAGATTTCTTTCCAAAAATAAGTTTAAACTTTACCTAGATAAACTAGTCTAGTCTTTGCTTACCTGTGTTTCGCCTGTCTTGTAAATAAAATTAAATGAAAGCCAGCTCGATCATTGTTTTACCTTTTTCTTTCTATCAGAAGATAAGACAACATAAAGAAAGTGTTACCATTACATTTGCCTTGTTATTATTGCAAGCCAT